TTCTTGATCGTCACCTGCAAGTTGTCCACGATCTTCGTCACCAGACTCTCCGTAAAACTCTCGTTTTTCGCCTGCTCGTCTTCCGACAAATTTGCAGAATAAGGCGTGTTTTTGTTTACCATCTCTAGAGCTTCGAGCTTTTGCTTCTTAATTCGCAACTCGCGCGCTGCCTCCTCTTCCGGGTCAAACTCGGTCAGGATCCGCGGCGATGACAGTAAGAAGACGTCTTCTATAAGCACCTTGACAGGCTTGCTTTTGAGGTTCGACCACGGAATCTGCAGCGTAAGCTCACCAATGTGGCCAAACCGCACGTCCACAGGCAATTGGAACTTTTCCAGCGACTCCTGTTTCAACTTCAGGTTCTTGAGCTTCACGTCTCCGCTCCAAATGCCTATGTTTAATTGCTTGGGGTCGAAGTTCTCAACGTAGGCCCCAAGGGCCTTGTTGAGAATATTGGCAACAAGCGACTCTAACATGTATGAAGCTATGCGTTTCTGTGGCTCTTATGAGATTGCAATGCTGTTCACTCAGTTGCCAAAGACCTTGTGTTGTGAACTTTGCTATGTGGCGTAAGATTAAATACTAGATCTGCGGCTGTGCAAAACTTAGCTAATCAAAAGACCTCTTTTTCTTTTCACCTTAGACCACGTGACAGCAAGCACGTGCCACACGTACGGCGACCCACGTTGCTCAGGGTTCAGTCGAGCTGAGTCAAAGGACATTCTCGAAAGCAGATTTAGTCTGCGGCCATGCGCCACAGCTATCTACTTACCAATCCTCAAGCTCATAATCGGCTTTGGATCTACTTTCCAAACCTGCTGCAATCAATCCCTAACGGAGAATATTGGATTATTGTTACTGCTCTAGCTAACAAAATATATCTTCCGCAACTGCGGCATCCTGATCAGTGATGCTCGGCATGTTCAGTGCACTGATAAATGCTCACGACAGAGCTCTGGTTATAATTAGTAGCCACCATCATTCGATGCGGATGCAACGACAGAGCGTTGACGTATGAATTTGTTCTGCCTGTGCCATTGAGCGTGTTGATGAATCCGCTGTTGGTAATGCTTGCCACCATTTCGCCGGCAGTCGAGTAAATGTCAACCTCCTTGGAAGCACACGCCACAAACGGAGCATGCTCGTGGATCATCGCGGTTGTCATGGTTTTGTCGAATGCACGGAAACGCACAATTGGGTCGTCTTTGCGAATATCCCAAAGCTGAACCATCCCGTTGGAGCAGCCCGACACGAGCTCGCGAAGGCCACCCCGCTGCATGTGGACGTTTTTAATCATGCTCCGGCTCTGTATGTCCTTTGGCTTCCATAGTCGAACCATCGAGTCACGTGCATCCAGCCGCCGGTCGTAGACTCTCATGCTCCCGTCCTGAAACCCGCCCACGAATATGTCTCCTGCAACTTGATCTGAGGTGAGCGAGGTGATCAACGAGGTCGATCTTAGCGGAACATCGCTCACGCACTTTTCTCTTGGCGCGTCCCAAATCTTGATAATCTTCACATCACCGGTTACTAGCAAAGACCCGCGGCTCTGCTGCCACTCAGAAATCAGACCAATGGATCGCGGGGTCAGCAAAATGTCGGTGAGCGCTCGCCAGGCAGAAATCATGTGGAAAGAGCTGGGGTCGTTGAATGATTTATAGATCTTCACCACACCGTCGCTAGAGCCGGTCAAAAGCAGCGGTATATCATCCTCGTTAAGCAACTTCAAGTCTGTGATTTTGGTGCCAAAGGGATTCCCGTTTGAAAACCGCGAGAGCTGTTTTTCACTTTTCCAATCGAAAACTGTGATGTTGTCCTTTTCGTCACTGGTGACCATCCAGTCCTCAAACTGAGTCAACTTGAGCAATTTCGGCTGTGTACGGTTGTCCAAGGAACTGATTTGATTTCTCCAGTCGCCGGTAAGCGACAACTCCTTCTGTGGTTGTGTCTCGGCAATGATGGTCTCATTTCTGTTAAGTCTCCACAACCCTTTTATGTATTCCTCACTTCCTGGCTCGTCAGGCTCGCTGCTTCCAATTTGCGGTTCCTGGAAATACTCACAGCTGTATTGAAAGAATCCACTGACTAACGGCAAAATAGGTCTGCCGTGGTCTCTAGGACGAGGCGTAAACCTTGGAGGCATGGGTCTGGGCTCGACTCCGTAGGCAAGAGAGGCAGGCTGTTGAATTAGTAAATTGAATTTATGCAGACTTGAGGCCTCGGACTCATCAGACTCTGGAATCCCCAAGTTCTTCATCAGGTTGTTGATTGTGAGTTTGGAAAAGAGCTTCTCGGTTAATGAATGCGAAGAAGAAGACGACGTTTGACGGGGATTAGACCTTGACGGTGGTTTGTGGGGATCAAAAGCCGAGTGCACTCTTCTCTCAGAGTCGTGTCCGTTCCACAGCTTTGGAGCAGATCCATTTGTCGAGAGGGGACCGAGGGGTGAGTCTTCCTTGCCAACACTACTGCTCGTTGTGCGCTTTTGGAGCAAGTAGTCCTCCATGGCCCCTACAACATCGCCCAGCTCACTCTCGTTAAGCTTCCAGAGAATATAGTCGACAACTTGCTCGGCATAGTCCTTGACCTCATCCTGGGGGTCTTCGCTTAGAATCAGCAGGGCTTTCCAAACGGAGGAAAACACTGACCCATACGCAGGCGACTTGCGTCGCACCTCGTCGATCATGCTTGGATTGTCCACCAAAGTGATTTCCTCCTCCAGCTGGCCAAAGGCGCTGACAAGGAAAAATTGGAGATATTTCAGCACAAACCTGCTATAGAAACATGCCACTTCTCTGCGAATTAACGGTGACCCGTCGTTAATCATGTCAAGAATTTCAATTGCAATTTTGATCTCCTGTCGATTCAGTTCATCACGGACGGCATGGTCATCAGAGTCGTCGGTGTCCAGATAGAGGAAATTGTAGAAACAATTGATAATAGATGCTCTGATCTCTGGGATAGGGTCGTTCATGATCTGCAGCAGTTTTTCAACAAAGCTTCCACGATAAAATACCACAATAACTTCGAGATTATTTTTCAGCAACTGGCTCATCAGAAGAGCGCTCCACTGTCTCAGAAGCGGGCTTTCGGACGTTTCAACGTAGAAAATACACGTCTTAATCAGATCGATCGAGAAACACAGCTTCTGTCCGGCCTCGTGGTCGCGAACAAACATCGACAAAATAAACCCGCTCATGGCCTTTTGTTCGTCGTAGTTTGCATCGTTTATTTCCAACTGAACACCACCGTTTGGTACTCCGTTGGGGTGCGGTCTCGTTTGCATAGTGAAGATGGACACAAAGTAATTATACCCGCGGTCCTTGCACAGCTCCTGCTGTGTATTCTTGTAGTCCACAGACATGATGCGAGCCCAGATAAATGTCAGCACTGGTTTAAGCTCTGGCGCAGGACTCTGTAAAAGTCGCACAATGTATGGGAAAATACCGATGCTGAGAGCAAGATACACGGCCCAAGGTCCTAGATCGAGGAACTTGGAGAGCAGAATTAAGGCGCGAAGTCTGTGAGCTTGTGAGAGCAGAACCTGCAACACAACAGGCAGCTGTTGGGGAGGTTTCTTCGCAGAAGAGCCGTATTGAAGCCAGATCTCGAAAGCCGTGAGATGCTGCTCAAAAAACGAGGAATGCTGGTAGTTCATCACAGATGGATGTGAAGGTGCTGTATTTTGCGCTGGTTGGTGTTCTGGAACCTGCAATTGCGGGATATCCAGCTGCTCCTGTTGTGCGTTGTCGTCGTTAGATTTATTTTTCACCAGCTGGGACAAAACCTCGTCTATGGCAAGCTCCCAGGAGTCCCACATTGGATGGTGGTTGATGTCAGGCAGTGGAGGGTCGGAAATGGGATGGCATCCCACCAGCGGCATGATTTTCTTTGCGAAAAGGAAATTTCTAAAAAGCACTGCCACCATCAGATCCTGACGAAATAATCTTTTGAATAGCGGCCTCGACAGCGAAGTCCATGCAATTGTGTCCGTGATGGCGGTGAATATCCAGTTGAGTTCGCCCAATGGAGTTCTTCTGTCCGTCAGCTTTCCCGGAATGATGATCTCGCCCTCTTTGTTTTTCAAAACCTCGTAGTAGCCATGACGACTCAACGGAGAATACAGCACAAACCATTTCACACTCATCTCTATAGGACTAGTCAAGCAGCAAGTAAACAGATCTGCCGGCAGATCCGGGTTGAGAGGAAGAATCTCGTCAGACCGACAGGCCCCGAGCTGGATGGACTCGATATACGCACTCACCGGGGACGGTGAATTATTTTCTGCTCTTTCGTTGGCTTCGTCCTCTATTCTTTTTTGTATGAATTTCTTGTTATTTTCAATAACGTTTCCAGCTGCGCACGTATCGATCACAAAAATGCACGGAGCACCCAGCCAGCTTTGAAGATCGTATAAGCTCACAGGAATGTACTGCGTGTAGCCTCTGTTGAACACCCAAATCTCTCCGCTCTGTGTGGGCTGTGGAACACCATGACCGTTGTAATGAAACAAGATCCTCTCGTCCTTTGAACTTCTGCGAAGAATTGTGCATAGCCGTTTAAGATCCTCAACAGAAGGGTCTAGCGACTGCTTGTACTTGATTCTCGAGCTCACTCCTTCGCAGGACTCGTAGTTCGACTGTAAATTCTTCCCTATGGCCTGGAGGGCCTTTTTGGGGTCGGAATATGTTGTTGGGTCGACAAACGCCTCCAAAACGGGATAATCAGCAGGTTTCTGGATATCGGGTGGGGGAATTCCAAGATTCAAGCACATAACAAGCGCAGCAGTGGTGGTCTTCTTCTTATTGGACTGCGACTTCCAATCGGGTATCTTGTATGATTCGTCCTCACAAGAGGGATTGGCACCCATCGTGTTGCGCTTGAGGTCATAATGGGAGTAGTAGTGAGACTGCAAAATGCTGAGCTGCGATTGGTCGTTCAACAAACCATGTCGTAGACCACTCATGTGGAAAAGAAGTCAAATAATAAAATTTAGGCTGTGCTAACCAAATATATATTATAATACTATATCAAACGTTATGTCATTTTGAAACCAAAGTAGTCGAGGTGGCAGTGCTGCTTGGCGCCGGTGTATGGAGGGTGTTTCCACGACTTCTGTTCTTCATGCTTTTATCCCAGAAATCAAGTGACGCGACCACATCGTATCCTCTTTCATCTTCGTATGCATACAAAATCTCCTGTGAGCTGGAGTGCAAGAAGCGGATCTTCTCGGCGATGATGACGCGCAAAAGCTCTCCACTCTCAACGTGGCGAATCTCAATAAAACCAGAATCAAAGGCCAGAAGATACGGGTACCACAGAGCAAAAGCGTGAGGAACACCCTCCCAGTGGATGATCCACTTGGGTCTCGACCGCCAGCCGCTGTAGTTGATGAAAAAGGAAAAGTTTGAGTAGCTGAGCAGGAAGTCGGAGTTGATTCTGTCAATCTCCAGGGGCTTGAGGCCTTCCTTGCCGACCACAAAGTCGAGAGACGTGTCGGCAGCATCCAAAAGCTGCTTGATCTCGTTCGTTTCCAAAGAAACAATCTCAAAGCCTTTCGAACAACCCACACATAGCTTGGTCTTGAGAAAGCTGATCGAAACCGGCTCGGAGTTGAAACTAACGTCTTTTGTCTCCGGTGAGAACTTTTTTTTTGTTTTCTCTGGCTGATCGGATCAATAGGCTCAAAGATTCTAATGAGGTTAGAAGAAGACTTGGCTGCACAAACAAGCATTCTTCCAGCGCAAACACCTGTTTTAAAGAACGACACATGCGTCATTAGCTCCTTTCCAAGTTTGCCGTTCTTCACTGCGTCCCCCCCACTCAACACGTCACCAGGCCAATAAAATAGCTTCTTGTCACTCAGAGCCAGCAGGGTCTGGTATTCGCTGAGGATTTCCACTTGAATAATATTAATTTTGCTGATGATCTTCACTGGTCTCGAAACAACCCTGGATCCGTTGTCAGTGATTTTCACATCACTCACATAAATACCCGAGTCCGTACCGTACAGCAATTTTCTGCCTCCATCGAAAGGAACAACACAGTTGATTTTATTATTATGGTCAAAGAAGTTGGACGTCAATGGGGTCAAGGTGAAAACATCATTATCATCAATTAATTTTCTGGTTTGCGTTTCCAGCTTGTCAATCAGCATTCGTTGCACTGTTGGCGTTGCATACAATGTCAAGTCATATCCGCTGCGGCCCAAGTATGTGAAAGAAATTGGACATTTGGCCGAAGTCGTTGCCAAATGCAGCCCGCTCGTTGTATGAGCGTCTTTGAAAAGTAACGAAGACGTTGATCCCGTCAACGATCCCGTCAACGATCCCGTAGAGGCAGACTTTTTGATTTGTTTGATGGATGGGCTTTCTTCAGTCAGTGATACAAACAACAGGGGTAGAGGAATAGGCCTTTGATAGACCCTGTATACCTCTCTTTTGTTCACGACCTTAATTCTAACAAACAGTAAGGCATGGTCGAAAAGGTACACTTGCACTTCGCCTTGTTTTTCTTTGTCCTGGTAGTTTCTCTTCTTCAAAACACATTGGTATAAGAGCTTGCGGTGCTCTGATGTCAATCTCAGATCTATGTACTCGCCAGGTCTGAACACCAGTTTCTGTTTCAACAGAAAAAGGTTCAGTCTATCTGCTGCTTTTCCTGTCTCGTAATTGATTCTTGTCAGCATTTTTTGGAGAAGCTCTATTGCTTTGTTCAGGTTGGCATAATCCTTAGACTCGGGGTCAGTATGATCTCTAATGCTCTTCAAAAGCAGAGGATACCTTGCCGGCCGAGTTGTAGGTTTCGAAAGATACGACGACACATCAAGTCTTCGAGATTCAGCTCTGTTACTGGTGTCTTCAATGAACCTCACGAAAAATGGATTGTGTCTCTTCTGACGGTCAAATTCGTATTTTCCCTTCACCTGGCCAGCGCCGTACTTGACAAATGGCTCGAAACGAGGAATAAACTCTAAAAATAAGTCACCTATCTCGTCGACAACTGGCTTCTCCTGTTGCCTCTTGGTCAATGCCTCTGCAAATCTGGAGTTGATCTCCCAGATCTCATTAATGTTGTAAAATACAGTGTTGACAAAGTGTTCTCTTTCGTTCTCTTTGATGATCTTTGTCTCTGACAAAGGTCTGATCCAGAACTCTCTCAAATATTCCAAATCTTTGACAAAATCTCTTTCGGAATAAATCATCTCAAAAATACACTCCTGGCGTTTGATCTCTCTCTTGTCCATACTATCAAGAATGCTTTTTGGAACCGTGTATGACCAAAACGCTTTCTGCTCCTCCTTTTGCGTAAGCGACAGATGCGAGTCAGACCTAGTCAAAGACGACTTCGAGCCCAATCTAGCCTGTTGCTCCAATCTTCTTGGACAAACAATACTATAGCATAAATTATCTCTTGAACAGGTTGGCGAGTAGCATTCTGTCAGTAGAGTAAAAACTCCCACCACTGGCACGCCTAAGAAGCCGGGCTTGGAATTTGGATTGCCATTGGGTGAAGATGTCATTGATGGAGAGCCCTTGTTGTCCATCTCATGAATTTCCGAGTTAACAGATTCGTGACGCTGAAGACCAGAAGACTCGTTGGGATAAACATCAAACACCTCTTCAGAAAACTGATAAACTTCGTTGTTGGAGTCCCTGAGTCGATGTTCGTACGTCACGTCATGGAACAATTTCTGTGCATCCAGAGATCTACCTAGCAGAAGCGCGAGGTTACGATCCGATGTCCTGATGATCCGAGCAATACAATCCACTGCCTCAGCGCCGGTGAACGAGTCTCTGTACTCGAGACCATTTTTAAACTTTGAGTCTAGCTGGATCCGCGCCCGGAACGCCTTGGCAACGTTGGAAAGGACTGCAGGATACACATACGGGATTTTAGTCGAAGCTGAGGTCACGATGGTCTTGGAGCATATGGATGCTGCTGGATATAACTTGTCTCTGTCGGCGGAATTTCGGAGTGAGCTTGAAGACGCAACTCTTTTAGTCAGAGACGTGAAACTCCTTGACTTTTTTGGAACCTCTGGGGGAGGCGAATTTACGTCGGCCTTCTGCGGGATCACTCGTCCAGAAGTGGTGACCTGTTGCTTTGTGTTGGTTGTATGGTATTTTTTCAAACCCTCGTCAGTTTGCTGCGGCTCTCCGGATCTTTCATGGTGTTCCGAAGGTAAAATCGGAGAGGATACGTTTCTTGTGCCTCTGAGGAAATTCAGAGACTGGCGCATCATAGGACTTTTCTGAGCTGGATCAAGAGTTCCGGGCGATTGGGGGGCCAGTTGTTGCGTGGGAGATGGAGCGTAGTATCTTTGCGGAACTGCGTTCGGGTTCGTGAGCTTCGGAAGCGGAGGTCCTCGCTGCTGGTGCACTAGATGCATTTGGGGCATCTGCTGCATCGGCACAGGATACTGTCTTTGGCGAGGCATGGAATCCGAATATGAACGCATAGTCTGCTGGGCCCCGTTTAGTTGCGCATGCTCGGTGTGAGGGTCTCTTGCTTGTGGCTTGGGAACCGACTGTTGAGTGTCACTCTTATGATCAGGTTGGAAGGTCAGGTTGGCCCTGTAAGGATGTGGCTGTGGTTGCGTTTGTTGCGACTGATCAAAATACCGCCGTTGTGGACCTGCCGCCACAGGATACTGAAATTCAGGACGAGGAATATGGGGCTCCGGCACCTGGTTCAGGTGCTGGAACCGGGAGGGCGGTAGCGGGGGGATGTCCCCCACAGAAATGGCCTGTTGCTGATTAGGGATCGAGAGCTGTGAAAGCTGTTTTATGTGAGGAGCTTGCTCATTGTTTTGTTGCGAATGATACATGTCTCTGGATAGTTATGCTGCTCTGAGTCGCCGCGCGTTGCTCTTTAGCAACAAAGATCCAATAAGCAAAACTATGAAAATTGGTATGTTGGCGAGATATAATGATATAGCAATGGGTAGGACTATAATGTATTATAATCCGTTCATTCAACGAAATTAGTTTTGGCTGTTCCTTGTTTTTTCTAGCCTTGTGCAGTTCGCGATGGAAAAAAAGATCTACCGACACTGCGCCACAATTCCAAGCCGGCCAAGGTCTCGCAAGACAGGCAGCACCAGCCACATCGGTTGCGCCGGCTTTTCTAGATACACCTGGCACCCAAGAAATATATCCATTCAAACATGCCAGTAAGTACCAAAAAGCGCCCCATCTCTAACACACAGGCTTATCATTCGACGTTCTTGGCAGACGAGTCGCAAGATACCAGACTTGTGGGCAATTTTGCCGTGTTGCCACTTCGAACAAAATACAAAGGACCAGCATTTCCTGCCTCGTCCGACTACGACATCATTGACGAGGTTCTGGACCTGTTTAGGGCCAACTCGTTCTTCAAGAACTTTGAAATCAAAGGTCCTGCCGATAGGACTTTGATATACGGAATTCTATTTGTTTCGCAGTGTTTGAACGCCCTCAATGCCTCAACTTCGCAGAACGAGGCTGTTCGCGTTTTGACTAATTTGGCTTTGGACAACTTCTCAATTCCTGGCGAGATCGGTTTTCCGCTGAACTCTCTTTACCAGCCGCCAAGAGACAAGAACGAGGCGTTGTTTCTGAGGCAATATCTAGCTCAATTTAGACAGGAACTGGCAAACCGTCTAATTGCTCGCATTTATCAAGATAGCAACCTGCCAAGCAAGTACTGGCTGGCATTTACCAGACGCAAGTTCATGAATAAGAGTCTGTAAGAATGCAAATATCGATTACTATGTAAATGTGTCTTACATTTTGTATAGCGCGCCGCCTCTGTCTTCGAGCTCGTTCACCAGATCCTGGACCGAGTCGCTGTCGTAGTTCCATCCCAGCATCATGCTCACCTTGAGAGTCGTCAAACAGGGTAATCGCTCTTCCCATAGCGCAATGGTGAGGTCGTCCGGGTGAATCTTGGACCCTTGGCCCAGCAATCCTGAGGAGTCAATGCATAGTGTGCGCAACGGGCGCGGGTATTCTTCCAGCGGCGGCAGCAGCTCGTCATGAAACAGGTCTTTGGAAAAGTACTCGATGTTGATGTATAAGTAAACCAGGTTTGGACAGTATAAGAAAACCGTGTCAAGAGAGTTGCTTTTCAGTTTTGGCATTGGATAGAAAATGGAAACTCGCCGCAGGTTGTATCCAATGTGCATGAGCATTTCGTTTATCGCTTCTCCGGTGATATTTGGACAGTGTGCGAACTCCAGCGACGTGATGGAGGCCGGAAACCGCGACTCTGTGAGAAACTTATTGGATATGCCGCCCTGAAGCCGCAGATACCAGAGCTTGGACGGCCATTCCATGTCGTAATCCTCACACGAGATCGAAGACCGGGGGAATGAAAGCTGCTCTAGCAGCGGAGCTGATTTAATGGAGTTGAACAGCTCTTTCAGGTTCACAGTCTCAGAGACGAGTCGCAAGTCTAGTATCTTCAAGTTATGGCACAGTCGCAGACTGATCAGCGGCGAAAGCCCGAAACTGGCTTGCGACGCAATGAAAACCTCTAAAGACCCGCTGAACCGCCTCAGTAGTTTCGAAACATACGAGTTCTTTCCTGACTGTATTATTTGCGACAGATCAAGGATCTTGACCAGTCCCTCGAACTTTTTCTTGTTCTGGTGCTGGGATACAACGTCAACAAATTGTGCAAAATTGGACGACTTGAGGTGCGGATAGTAATACAGCTTGGGCATCAGGACGTAATAGAACGCACGGCTGATCAGGAGATGATTCAGGCAGTACGGGTGTTCTGTGTGTTCCAAAATTAGCAGAATAAGCTCAAAAGGCAGTTTCATCCGATCCTCCTGGACAACCATCCCGCGCCCCAGGGCAACGGACACTTTAAGAACATCCACCTTCTGGAACTGAGACCGAGGCCAAACATAGCCATTCCACACCTCCGAAAAAACCTCCTGCTGCGGCCTGGTGTCTGGCTCAGCATCAACCGGATCGTTGTCCTTCAACCCGTATACGTATTTCTTGTACAGCTGGCCCCTTGTCTTTTTGGGCCGGCTCTTGTTAGCCATCGTGAGGATAGTATTTTTTTCCCTAGCAAAGCTATTAAACTTTATTATCTACATCTGTACACCGCCTGGCAACTCAGACATCCAGCACGACTTTGAACGAGAATGGCTGGTATGCAATTCCCTCGCCCTCGAAATACTTGGACATTGCCTCAACCCAGTGCAGTCTGAGCGCGTGCAGCATGGCAGACGTGCCTTCCATGACCACCAAAATGGCCACTGTGAGCACAAACCACATACCAAACATGAGGAACACAAACACGGATCCGAACAATCCAGTGGCAGCAAAACTGTTGGCGATTGTCATGGACCATAGCACAGACGACAGCTGTGCGTGTGCAAGCGAAAGAGCCCACAGACGGAGGTACGAAGCCGTGTGGGAGACGCAGTTGAGACAGAACTCAATGGTGTGAATCACCTGGTGGATCATCACGTCGCCAAACGTGTGTGCCTCATGCTCTTCCTCGTCATCGAGGTTCAGGTTGGTCAGAAGATTATTATTTGACGACTCCGAAGGCAAGTTCTCGTAGTGGTGCGAGTGTGAGAATTTGAAGTGCAACGGCTTGATGAGCAACAGACATGGCACGGAAACCAGCGCAATAAGCAAAAGTGTGACCTGGACAGTCGACTGGCCAGGGTAAAGCTCGTCCTCGATTTTTCCTGGGGCCAAGAACATATTGATGAGCATGTTAAGCAAGCTAGGAGCCGGTTTGTTGATTTTAATCCAGTCGACACACCACTTGTAGACAATACACAGGGATAGGTAGCCAAAGATTCCCTGCATAAACAAAAGACCAGGAATGAAGTTGCCAATAATGTCGATTTTGGACTTAAAGTAGACATAGTTCACGAGGGAGAATGCGTAGGAGTAGGACATGTGGACAAATCCCATTAAAATGGAGAGTTTCATTTTGTACGAGTTGGTGAAGAGCAGATTGTTCTCTGTTCCATGCCATGCTGGGTCAAGACCGAATGGATACACTCCTGTCTGTGTTCCAGCAATGGTCTCTCCTTCTTTCCACGACTCCGGCCACTTCCAGCCAGATTTGAAAAACGTTGTCGAGAGTGAGAACACATCGTTGTACAGGAATCCCGTGTACATCGAAAAGAATCCCATCATGAGCAGGATGTATCTTCCGGAATATGCCATGTCGAAAATCTCGTCTCTTTTCAACTTGGCGATTTTTTTCTCGTTGAGAACCAGCGCCAGAGCAGCTAAAAACATGATAAACCCGTGTCCAAGGTCACCAAACATGATGGCAAACATGAATGGGAAAGTCGCCACCGTGGGCAGACCAGGGTTCACCTCTCTATATGTAGCCACACCGTAGGCATCGCACATCGCCTGGTACGCTGCGGTGAATTTGTTGACTTTATGGTAGGTTGGCGGCGTCCTTGTTGTCTCAACGGTGTTAACCACAATAGGAAACGACTCCTCGGGACTGCCGGAATATTTGGTGGTGATTTCCTCCAGCACGCTCTTCACCTTGTGGAAATCATCGCTAGGCACCCATCCTTCTCCAATAAGACACCGTCTGGCCTGATCGTAGTGGCACAGGTTCATGACAGAGTACACAGATTTCTCCAGCTTCACGGCTTTCCACCAAAGATCCAGCTCGGAAGCGACAGCGCTCAGCTCTGTCTGGAGCGTCAATTCGGTCGACTCCAGCACGTTTGTCACATCCGCAAGCTTGTCGTTGACCTCACGCATCTGCTGGGCCCTTCTTTTGATTTCCTGGTCCACAAAGTACAGGTCTGCATCCAGAGATTCACAGATTTTGCGCACACGAGACAGAATGAGCTCACCGTGTGCAAAAATGATGAAACTGTTTTTGTCGACGTAGTTTTTCGTCTTGATGTCGTAGAGTCTTTGACCTATTTCGGCCGAAGTGATGAAAAGATTGCCGCGGAGAACACGCCACAGGATTCTCTCCAAGACTTCCACCTTGGCTCTCGGAATCACTCCTGTGATGAAATTGGCGTCGCGAACTCCTCCGTTCTCCAAAAACTCAGGCTCGCCCAGATCGATCAGGTCCGCGGTCTCCACATGTTGGAAATACTTGTCCGTGGCCGACAACACTTGCTGGTACTGTTTCAAGTCCACCTGTTGTTTAAGCAGATCCTCAGAGGCGTTGCTCAACTGGCCGATTCGGTCTTCCAAAAGCTGTGCATCCTCCACAATCTCGTCCAGCTGGCTAGTGGTGAGGGTCTCGGGAGGCGATTCGTACTCAATAAGCTTTATTCCCCTGTTGTCCATCTCCGATTGGAAGTAACGATACTGTCTTTCCACGTTTTCTAGACGCCTGATTTCGTTGACAAAGGAGCGTTGGAACGCGTTAACCTTTTTATTCAGATCGCGGAACTCAACAAGGCCGAGCTTCCCCAGGGAATATATAGCTGTCCTGCCGATCTCGGCCGGGATATACAGCTGAACCAGGGACATCTCCGCCGAACCTGATGTTAGAGACCAGAGCGCAGCAATGGATACTTACGGAAAATGGCTTCGGGTTCGACAGACATGGTCTTGTGTGCAAGCAATGCGTGTGTCTAGCAAAGAATGGTTGAAATATAATATTAAAACCAGACTTTTTTGAAGTGCTGCACAGAAAATCGCAACAATGCACGACCTTTGGTTTCCCGGTGGTGTAGGGATGTATCAGATCTCGAGACAGTGCGGCACCATTTGCCGCTAAGATAATCAATCATGTCTGACATGCAGCTGTCCGCAGGTGAGAAATTTCCGGGTATAAAAGCTTAGGCAAGAAACCACCAAGTCAGCCACCATGTCTGCATTAGATCCCATCCACTCTCGAATTTCTGCTATCAAGTCGCACCAGTCACAACTGAGGGTGATTGATGCGACCCAGGCTGCTGGCGATGAGGACCTCTTGAAGGAAATCGGATACAAGCAGGAACTGAACCGTAAATTCAAGACCTATCAGATCTTTGGTATTGCATATAGTGTCATGGGCATTTTGCCCGGCGTGGCATCCGTTTCGTCTATTGGGCTTGCTGGCGGTCCAGCGGCGTTTGTTTGGGGGTGGTTTATTACGTCGATCATGATCTTGACTATTGCTGTTGCCATGAGCGAAAACGGTAAGTGATTTTTTTTTATCTGTGGTGTGCTAATAAATACATAGCATCTGCTATCCCAACCAGTGGGGGGCTTTATTACTGGACATATGTTTACGCTCCAGAAAAATTCAGGGTTTTGTTTTCGTACATCATCGGCATGACGAACGCCATGTCGCTCTGTGCTGCGCTGGTGAGTGTCAGCTACGGTCTTGCCGAGGAAATCTTGGCTATCGTGGTTATTCAGAAGGACGGCAACTTCGACGTGACAGAAGGCAGAACGTACGCTGTTTTTGCTGCAGGAGTGATTGTGGCTGCCATCGGAACCTGTGTGAGCAGTCGCAACGTGGCCACCTTGCAGACGGTGTCGGGAGTCGCCAACACGCTGGTTATGTTAATATTTTTGGTGGCTCTGCCGATTGGAGCGTCTCAAGCGGACTTTGGCAGAAGAGACGCCAAGTTCATTTTTGGCCACGTCAAGAGCTACTCGGACTGGAGCACGGGCTGGCAGTTCTGTCTTGCGTGGATGGCGGCCATCTGGTCGATCGGCGCATTCGACTCTCCGGTGCACATGTCTGAGGAGGCCCAGAACGCAACCTACGGAGTTCCTCTTGGCATTATCAGTGCAGTTGCAGTTTGCGCTTTTGGAGGCTGGGCATGCGTGCTGTGCCTGGTGGCCTGCATGAAGCCTGATGTGGCTGCTGTGCTCGACACCGAAACCGGATTCCCTTTTGCCCAGATCTGCTACGACGCCCTAGGGAAAAAATGGGCCATTGGTATCATGTCGCTCACGTCGGTATGCCAGTGGCTGTGTGCGGCATCGATTCTGACCGCACTTTCTAGACAAATCTGGGCGTTTGCCAGAGACAACGGGCTGCCGTTTTCGAGCATAGTCAAGGTGGTCAACAAAAGACTGAGGGTGCCTATCAGGGCGGTCATTTTCGCTACCGTGGTTGCGCTGATGATCGGGTGTCTGTGTCTTGCCGGTCCTACAGCCGCCAACGCTCTCTTCTCGCTCGGAGTGTCGGGCAACTATGTCTCGTGGAGCACTCCGACCCTGCTCAGACTCACTTCTGGCCGCTCTGTGTTCCGGCCTGGAGCATTCTATCTTGGCAAGGTGCTTTCGCCAATCGTGGGCTGGATCTCATGTTTGTGGACCGCATTTGTGCTGGTGCTGTGCATGTTCCCGTCAAACAAAACGGTGCAAAAGGATACCATGAACTATAACGTGGTGATCAGCTGTGGGGTGTGGATTCTGTCCTTCGTCTACTTCTTCGTCTACAAGTACAAGCATTTCCACGGGCCACGGTCGAACCTAGAAGACGACGACGACGACGAGCCGCTAAGAGTGGACATGGTGATGGAGGGTAAAGTGGCATGAGCAGCACTCTTGCTGCCACTGATAAGAGCTACGGAATTTGCATCCTCATTTTGCTCCTCGTGCGTCGGCGGCTATGTGTGCGGCGCGGCGGCGACAAATTTTTATAGAGCCACTAACTATGCGAGCCGTTGCGATAACAGTGCTAAGCGGGTTCCACACTACCCAGCTATATATGCCACTGGTACAGACATGTAGTTGGATCAGTTATGTCACACACAATCACGTCTGTCCTGTCCAACCGGTCGACCGCGTTAATGTCGCCGGTCCGCACCATCGACGCCAAGCACGCCCACGGCGACGAGGACCTGCTCCACGAGATCGGCTACAAGCAAGAGCTCAAGAGAACGTTCTCCACGTTGCAAGTGTTTGGTATCGCGTACAGCATCATGGGACTTCTGCCGTCGATCGCGTCGGTCACGGGCACTGGGCTCGCCTCCGGGCCGAGCGGCTTTCTGTGGTCTTGGCTAATTGCGTCGGTGTTCATCTTTCTTCTTGGCGTTTCCATGAGCGAGCTTGCGTCCGCCATCCCGACCAGCGGCGGGCTCTACTTCTGGACGTACCACTACGCGCCAAAAAGCATCAAGGTCCCGCTCTCGTACCTGATTGGCCTGTCGAATTCGCTGGCCCTCTGCTCCGGGCTCGTGAGCATCGGGTACGGAAATGCAGAAGAAATCTTGGCAGCAGTGTACCTTACAAAAAATGGAGATTTCGAAATCACCACGGGAAAAACGTACGGCGTTTTTGCTGCATGCATATTTGCACAGGCCCTGTGCACCTGCTTTAGCTCGAAGCACATCGCGTGGCTGCAGACCACGTCGATGGTGTGCAACACGGGCATCATCGTGCTGTTTCTGATTGCGCTGCCCATTGGAACCTCCGTCAACTCCACCTTCAACGATGGCAAGTTCATCTTCGGCACCGTGCAGAACTATTCCGACTGGCCCACTGGGTGGCAGTTCTGCCTCTCTTTCATGACAGCCGTCTGGACCATCGGCTCGTTCGATTCCTGCGTCCACATGTCTGAGGAGGCCCGAAACGCCACGTACGGAGTGCCCATCGGGATCATGGCCTCCATCGGTGTGTGCGGCGTTGTCGGCTGGTTCATCATCATCTGTCTGACCGCGTGTATGAGCTCCGACGTCGACGCCGTGCTTGCCACAGAAACGGGCTTCCCGATGGCCCAGATCATCTACGACTCGCTCGGACGCAGGTGGGCCATTGCGTTCATGTCCCTCATGGCCGTCTGCCAGTGGCTCATGGGCTCCTCCATCTTGACGGCCCTGTCGCGGCAAGTCTGGGCCTTTGCCCGGGACGACGGCCTGCCGTTCGCCAATGTCGTGAAGGTGGTGCACAAGACGCTGAAAGTGCCGATCAGAGCAGTGGTGTTTTCGTCGCTTGTCGGCTGGCTCATTGGCTGTCTGTGTCTGGCAGGCTCCACCGCCGCCAATGCTCTGTTTTCGCTGGGAGTGGCTGGAAACTATCTGGCATGGTGCATGCCCGTTTTTCTGAAGCTCACCAGCGGAAAACACCTGTTCAAGCCCGGAGCGTTCTACCTGGGAGACTTCTACTCAAAGCTTGTCGGGTGGACAACCTGCGCATGGGGAGCCTTTATCATCGTTCTGTGCATGTTCCCGTCTGCCAAAGAGGTGGAAAAGGACACCATGAACTACACGGTGGTCATCACGTGCGGAACGTGGGTGCTGTCTTTGGTGTACTACTACGTGTACAAGTACAAGGTGTACCACGGCCCACGCTCCAATCTGACTCCAGAAGATGTCATTGAGGCTGCCGTGGTGCCGGACAAACAGGAGATATAATGTCAAAAGCAATTGATTCTCGTTACAAAAGCCGCACGTAGTTGTAAGGGAAAATACCGGTGGTGCCGTCGGTCAGCTTCATGCCGCGCCACCACCCTGGGTTGCTTCTGTCCAGGACCTTGATTCGGTCGCCCTCGCGGAAACTCAGGTCGTCGGGCTGCGAAGCATCGAAATTGTACATGGCCACGCACGTCTCTGCGGGAGCCGTAGTTTCGAGGACCTTCATCTGCAGCTTGTTGAGCGAGATCTGGTGGAATTTCACCACAGAGAGCTGTTCGATCGATTCGGCAACACGCTCTTGAGCAGCAGTGAAATTCCGCCGCATGTTTTCCATATCAGTGTCGTACTGCAACATCTCAAGGTCGATCTTGAACTCGCTGGACAGAGACGCACACGTGGCGTACAGGTTGTGGAAAATCGTAAAAGTAGCAAAATAGGTCATCACAAACACCTGGCTCATGATCTGCCTGACGATCAGCATGAACAGTGGCAGCTCCATTTTTAGTTTGTTGTTCAGAAGGTCGTACTTGAGCTTGGCCTCGTGGAGTTTTTTCTGAACCTCGAACTTGCGTTTGTGCTCTTTCAAACTCAAGTCTGGCTTGTCTGCAAGCTTCCGGACCTCCTGCTGGTATTTTTCGTAGTCCAAACTTGCGTAGTTGCGTTCCTTGATAGCCCTGTTGGCGTTTTTAATCTGTTTTGATATTTTTTTCAAGTGCTCGCCAACGCGTTCCTCAAATAGCTTGGTCTCCTCCTCCATCCCAGGCTGGAGCATCTTGTATTGTTCGACGTACTGTGTCGCGCGATCAAACATCGATAGCTGCTGTTTATTGAGGATCCCGCCTTCACACTGGCTGCTTAAGTCTCTGAAACACAGACCGATCGCAATACTGTGTGTCAGTAATCTCGACATCGAGTTGCGGTGCTTCTGCAAGCTCAGCTCAAAGGTCTCAAACTGCTTATCAATGCCCTTGATTTCGGAGACAATACTGTCAAACTCGGGATCAGAGATCCTTTCTGTGGACCCTAGCTTGTTGATGTATTGGGGAGCCTACAATTAGTGGCCAATGCTCCCTACTTACCCTTTTCACGACATTTGTCACGTCGTACCAGTCAATTTCAGGCCGAGGCAACTCGTTGACTGCTTTCTGGAAGCTGGAATTATTCATGTTAAAATGATAGCGCGCCAAAAATTTAGGAATCAGGGTTTTCTACCACCCTTTTTTTGCTCGGATGGCCATGGTCGTATCCCGGCCACGCGCTAATTTGCCGCGCTCTCTTTTTTGCAAAAGAGCTGGTATTGTTGTTTATAAGCACTTTGTCCAGCTCGAGTTTCTGCTCGTCGGTGATATCTTCCTTCAACTTCTTCACTCTCTCTTGAAGCAGCCGAGACAGTGCTTCTATCAGCTTGCTCGAAAAACTCTTGTCGATCGGCAAGTTGCCCAAAATCACCGACCGCAACTTCTTGACGATGGCAACAGCATTGAGAGTGTCCTCGAAACTCTTTTCCTTGCTCGATAAATACTCTGGCGGGTTCAGTACTAGCATCGCCGCATAGTACAGCATCACATGAATATGCACCGGAGCATACTTTAAGGCTGATAAAATATCGGTATCGCCCAGCACAAGGTTGAGCACCGTCTCCGCAGACGACAGAGCCATCTCCGTCGATACCATGCGCGACTGCCGGGGAGACAGTTCCAGCTCATACTGGCCCTCGTCGTCATCGTCGCTACTTTCTGTCTGCTGGATGTTCTGGCAGCCCTCCTCCAGATTCTCGATCTGGTCGGAATCGACCTCCTTCCATCGTGGAAGCTCGTCTCCCTCCATGTGCAATGACCTCACCGCGGCCGAGTTGATGTGCATTTTGGCAAAGTTGTAGTATATTAGTGTGCTTTTGCTCGACCAAATCGGGGCGTTGTTAAAAGGCGAGAGCATGACAGTCCACTGGACCATCCACTTGTCAAGCTCCAGGTTCGTCTTAAACGGTAGTCCAAACGATGCGGGAGCCATAAGATCCCATGCATCGCCCTCAAACACCTTGCTAATCGCCTGGTTGTATTCCACCTGAGATACCAGTCGCAGGTTGGAGTAGTTTCCTTCAGAACCAGCCTCCTCGGCGCCGTCTTCAAGAAGCAGGTGCCGGCTTTCTTTGAGTGTTCTGTCCTGTGAATTCATCAATGGCTGTCTATTAAACACCAGGGATTGCTGGCCATCGAGGATGTACAGGAGATACCACAGCTTGAGCTTGTTTTTGTCGGAAACCTGAGAATTCTTGGACCGTTTGTTCAGCTTCAGGTTGCTGGCCAGCTGGAGAGCCATTCCCGTGAACATTTGGTTCTCCTGGAACCACAGAGCACAAAAGCACAGCGCAAGCACGGTGTTAAACGTATCAAGCTCTGTGGTCGGGACTCGCACGAGCAGATGCTGGCTCATTTGATGAATCAGTTGTTCGAGTTGGCGGAACAAATGGCTGAGAAGCGGGTGGTGGATAGATGCTATTGCACACACGCTGGCAAGCAAGAGAGGAGAGTGGTTCCACAGCTCGTTGACAGAGTATTGCGATATGTTGAATCCGAACAGTTGAGGAGAGATGTTTGAGTCGAAAAACCGGAATAACTCCTCTGCCTCGCTGAGCGAAAGAATATCGGCCAATGAGCGTGGTTCGGCAGACCCGTTCCGCGGAGCACCCTCCGAGGAAGCTTTTAGAAGCAAGGGCCGCGATGGAGACTCGGGAGTTTGTAGGATGGTCAGGATGTTCCCTAGCTTGCTACCAAAATCCTGCAGCCGGTCCTCCACCGACGAGTGCCAGCCAGCGCCTGGCTTTGTGTGGGGCGGATTCAAAATATGCGACAGCGATGCGTTCCGGCCCGTGTTTGCGTGGGACACCGGAGGAGAGTGCGTGGAATCACGCTTCCGAGTGTCTTGCGGAGGAGACTTGACGATTTTGGACACCTCTTTTGTGCTTGCATCCCCAACCACCTTGTAACTGGCAATTTTGTACTCGTAAACACACTGCAGGTTCTGTGCACGGCATCTTTTGCAGCTTTCGTCGTTACTATCCTTTTCGCATTTGACCTTGCTCCTTCGACACAGCGTGCACGCTTTGGGCCGTTTCTCCTTTGCTTCGTCGCCTTGAACAATTTTTGCCGTCGCCCGGTTGCGTGAAACATCGCTCATCAGCCGCTGCTGCTGGTGAGGATTGGGCAAAATCGGCAATTCGCCGGTCATAACAAATCGCGAGATAAAACTTTTTTTTTTACTCCAATAGCTTTTTGATAAATTTGTAGCCCGTCTTCAGCATCTCCTGTCCTGTGTATGCATTTTTGTTCCGTTCAAAAGTATCCGGCAACGACTCCATGCTGTAGTCAATAAACTCGTCGGATTCGGTGTCGGAAACCTCGAAGTTGCGGAATGCCCTATTCAAAGTGTGTGCTTCGTGTGTATTTAGAGCAAACAGTACCTTGAAGGGAAATGGGGCTATTTCAACGCTGGCGATCGGAGGTATATGCAATTTGTTTGCGTCCACGTACTCCAAAATGGCAAACAGGTTGTTCTCAAAATCCTGTTTGTACAGATCGAGCTTGCTGGCTCCGTTGACATCAAGCATCGAATTCTTATTATTGAGGATATCGATTTTGAGAACCCATTTCTCCCAGCAATTGGCGTACTTGGCCATATTTGGAGACACTGATACCAAAGACGACTGCGACTGCGACCGCGAGTTCGGGACACTGCTATTTGGATGCGCAACCTCGCGGTCGTAGAACTTGAGAACCATGACGCCTTTTAACACCATGTTTTCGTTCGGGTCAACTGTCGACCGGGACGCCTCGTGCGAAAAAGCATCGGCCAGCGCCTGCGCCTTGGCATCCACCAGCTCCTCAAGCTCAGGATTATTGGCTAGAGGGTAGGCCACGCCGTAGAAGCTGCTTTGCGAGGCACTAACACAGCCAAATAGCCGGTGGAACAGAATTGACCACAACACACCGCGCACGTAATCCGCAGCGGTCTCGAGGTCGGCCACTATTTTTAGTTGGAACTCCATCTAAAGAGGATCAATAAATAAAATACAAAAAAATAAAGGTGATAAGATATGAGGTAAATTAGCGTGGGCATACATAGTTATGAACATGCGCGTTCGAGCTCTAGGAACTCGACGAGTTCTTTCTGGCGGATATATTTGCGTTCGTTGAGCCATGCACGGCGATACACTTCCAGGAGGACAAGCGACGAGTCGTCCGAGGACGCAGGTCTCGTGTGCTGCGAGGTTTGTGACAACGGCTGCTGTGTGGGTGGTCTGGAAGCTTCCTGATGTGTAGCTGGCTGGGGAGGCACATTTTCGACGTCTATCGGCGTTGCTGTCTCCGCCAGCGACGCATCCTCCTTGACTTCGCGCAAGTCCTCGGGCACGGCCAGACCACTCTTCAGGCTGCCGTTTCCGTCGTCGACCTTCCGCCGGACGTTGTTTCTCACCATGGGAGTCAGCGGCGTAGTAGGCGATCTCTTTTGGGCATTACGATACGGCGTGTCACTCATGTAAACAAATAAAAGCTCGCGCACGGCCGAGAAAGCCTTTTGGGGGGTGGCATTACCCGGACATTATCGGCTGAAAAATTATTTCCCACGTCCGCAAAAATACAATTTTCGTTCTATTTCCTGATCACAACATGTCCACCGAAAGAACTTTCATTGCAGTCAAGCCAGATGGTGTCCAGAGAGGTATCTTCCCAGAGATCCTGAGAAGATTCCAAAACAAGGGTTTCAAGCTTGTCGGAATCAAATTGACCCTGGCCAACGAGTCTCTGCTGAGAGAGCACTACGCCGACTTGCAATCCAAGCCATTCTTCCCATCCTTGCTGTCCTACATGATGTCTGGTCCAATTCTGGCCACCGTTTGGGAGGGAAAGGACGTTGTCAAGCAAGGTAGAGCCCTGTTGGGTGCCACTAACCCATTGCAATCTGCTCCAGGTACCATCAGAGGTGATTTTGCTTTGGACATGGGCAGAAACATCATCCACGGTTCCGACTCTGTTGAGAACGCCGAGAAGGAGATCAATCTGTGGTTCAAGAAGGAGGAGCTTGTTGACTACAAGCCAACCATGTACGGGTGGATCTACGAGTAAAAGCGATAGTCATGTTCATAGAGTCGCCAGTAAACTTAGTTAGTCATGCTGGAGTTTAGTGCCAGACCTGATAATCAAGTAAGGTGAAGCAAAATAGATTCTCTCGTGTTGAAATTATTTTTATTTTATTTTCTCCCATTTTTTTCAAACTTTTCATTCCATGTCGAAAGTACCACAAATATACTGTAAGTAAAACCACCTTCCCGCACTAACTCCAGGTCGCCAACCGCGAACAGTGCAATTGATACAAGCCCAGCCGGTTTTCAAGCCGGTGGAGAACTTCGAAGCACCCACATTGGAGACCAGATGCTCTGCCTACTCGCCCAACGGAACGCTTTTTGCATACACACAGCCGAGCTGTGTGACCATCTGCGAGGCCGATACGGGACGCGTGCTTTTTACCATTCCTGTTGGAGACGTGTTTGACTTCCAGTTCTCACCCAAAGGGACGTTTTTGACCACCTGGTCCAAACCAACAAAGTTGGACGATGAGTCCGGGAACTGGGCCAACAACGTCACCATCTGGAAATTGGACCTGGCCAGCAGCGCTGGGGTGTCCATTCAGTCGTATCTGAATAAGAGCCAGTCGGGCTGGAAGGCCCAATTCACAAGCGACGAGTCGATTTTCTGCCGGATGATCAACATGCACCAGATCGACTTTTTCAAGTCGCATGAGCCAGGCCAGAAAGCCATCTACTCGATCAACGTCAAGGACCTTGGCCAAATTCAGTCATTCAAGATGTCACCGGGCAAAAACCCGTCTCTGGCGCTGTTTGTACCGGGATCCAAGGGTAAGCAGTCGTACATCCAGGTGTACTCTCTGCCCAACGTCAAGACTCCAACTTCCCAGAAACAGTTTTTCAACGGCGAGTCGTGTCAGTTCACCTGGAACGATCTCGGTACCTCCATTCTTGCCCTGGTCAGCACCGATGTGGACTCGTCCAACAAGTCCTACTATGGCCAGACCACGCTGTATTTATTGGGCATCTCGGGAGCCTTCGACCAGCGGATCGCTCTGGACAAGGAGGGACCGATCCACGACATCACGTGGTCGCCCACGAGCCGTGAGTTTGCCGTGATCTACGGCTACATGCCGTCGCAGACGACGTTTTTCGACGCCAGAGGAAATGCCATCCACTCTCTGCCGCAAAACTCGTCCAACACCATCTTGTTCTCTCCACACGCCAAATTCATCCTGGTGGCAGGATTTGGCAACCTGCAAGGCAACGTCGACATTCTAGATAGACAGAACAAGTTTGCCAAGGTGGCCTCCTTCAAGGCCTCCAACACCTCGGTTTGCAAGTGGTCACCAGATGGCCGCTACATTCTGACGGCCACCACGTCTCCGCGACTGCGTGTCGACAACTGCGTCAAGATCTGGTACGCGAATGGCTCGCTGTGCTACGTCAAGGAGTTTCCAGAGTTGTACAGTGTCGACTGGAGGTTCCAGCCGCTGAGCGACTTCCCGCCTATCAAAGGCCTGGACGAGTGCTGCACGCCAGACATTTCTGCCGTCGAGTATCTAGCCAAGAGGGCTAAGATCTCGTCTGCAGCAGATAAGCCTGCTGGTGCGTACAGACCGCCTCACGCTAGAAACCAGCCGTCCGAGCCGGTGAGAACGTTGGCGCAGAGAGAAGCGTTGCAACGCAAAAAACAAGTGCCGGGGGCAGTTCCTGCGAAAAAGGCGATTCCGGGCGCAGTGGAGCCTGCAAAGCCGCAGAAACAGCAACAGCAGAAGAAGAAGAAAGGCGAGGAGAAGTCCCAGCCGCAGAAACAGGAGGCCGAGGCCGGAGTCATTGGCGGAGTCATCTCGTACGAGGAGAAGAAAATTAGAAACCTGCTGAAAAAATTGCGTGCCATCGAACAGCTCAAAGTGAAGAAGGAGAACGGAGAATTTCTGGAAGACACTCAGGTGCTCAAGATCCAGACAGAGCCCCAGGTCCGCAAGGAACTGGCTTCTCTAGGCTGGTCTGAATAATTGGAAAACATCTGTCAATCCTAGATCGGGCATGCCGTGTTTTTTAGCTACTACATTTAATTAGATATCAAGTAATTTGGGGGTTATATTTAATCTCATGGTTTCCTCCACCAATGGCGACTCTGTGCTTCTGCAGAATCCCAAGGTCCTCAATGCGATCGCCACCGGCTATGAGTATTCCAATTCGATCCCGCTCAAGGTCTGGCTCCGATCCGCCTCCACCATGCTTAAACATGCCCGTTATTACGCCACAGACGGAAACGTCTCGGAAACGTACGTGCTTTACCTCCGATTTGTCGATCTGCTTGCAAACAGGCTCTACAAGCATCCGGAATTGCGCGGCTGGAGACAGCAGAAGGACGGCGCCGCCAATTACCAGCTGTACCAGAAGTTGTGCAGCAAAATGCCCGAGATCATGAGTGAGGCAGAACGCATACGAAAAATCCTGGACGAAAGATACGCCAGGCAGCAGAAAAAACAGGAACGAGCAATCCAACGCCGTTCTCCTGCCACAAAACCCAAGACAGCGTCCGTCGCCGCTCCGGTGACTCCCGAACCCCAGCCTGAGCTCGACGCAAGCTTGGCTACAAAACTACGTTCGCTCTCCTCCAGCAGCGCCAATAGCCCCCAAATCAAACTGGAGATATCGTATCCAAACGAAATTGCGTTAGAGAGCCCGAAATCAGAACCAGTTGCTCAGAATGAGCCGGCTCCAACAGTTCTCCATAAAACTGTCAATTTCACCGAAGGAGGATCTCCGCTGAGAACCGTGTTTTTGCCCCCAAAATTAGTGGACGAGTTCCTTGCCATCGCCAGAAGGAACACGTCGAAGAAACTCGAAACCTGTGGAATATTGTGCGGGAAACTTAATAGAAACGCATTCTTCATCAATTATCTTGTGATTCCCGAGCAAGACTCGACTCCCAATACATGCAATACAAAAAACGAGGAAAAACTGTTTGACTTCATCGACAATCTCGACCTGTTCGTGCTCGGATGGATCCATACGCACCCCACACAATCGTGCTTCCTGTCGTCAGTCGATTTACACACGCAAAACTCTTACCAGATCATGCTTAATGAAGCTATAGCAGTTGTCTGTTCTCCCAAATTTGAGCGCCAATTGGGGATCTTCAGACTAACAGACCCTCCAGGAATCCCTGTCATCACCAACTGCAACCAGTCGGGGTTCCATCCGCACGAGAGCGATAATCTATATGTCGAATGTGACCGAACGTCAACGAAAACGGGTCATGTAGTGCTGAAAGATTTACCGTTCCAAATCAAAGATCTCCGGTGACTTACTCTACAGCCATTTCACCCGCAAACTCCTGTTGCGCCAGACTGTCCTTCTGGTCATTCTCCTCCAGCTGCGTGCTCAGCAGTTGTTTTTTCAACTCCAGCCTAGCAGGCTCTTTCTGCTGATACTCGTTCACTTTCTCGATATACTTGTTCAAATTGGTTCCTGCGGCGGCCTCGGCCTCCAGTTGAGTGTACGGAAGTTTGCTCAGGTTCTTGACCCTTCTTTTGTGAACTTTGCCCTTCAAATGCGCGCCTAGGGCCTTGTTATCGAGGAAATATTTTGCACAGTGGATGCAATAATACTGGCCCAATCCGGGCTTTGTCTCGTCTTGAGGCTGGTGTTTGAGGCTCTGGATCGACTCCTCAGTGGACAGGTCGCTGTGTATGAGGTCCAGGTCTCTCGTTCTCCGCTTTGTCTTGTATCTCTTTACCGAATACCGCCCCATTATAGATATGAAAAATAATAATTTTTTTTGCAGAAAATTTGATCTGTGGCAAAGGCGGTGTGTGGCGAGTGACAAAGACCAGTGGCGCGGATTCTTTTTTTTTCTCCTCAACCCTGGGTCATGTGACAGACCTCAGGGCTACACCACATAAAAATTTTAACACCGTGAAATAATTACTAATCTCCAATATCTATAAAGTGAGTATAACGCCTTCTTCGATTAAAGGCTAACCGTTCAGAATGGCTAGAAGACCAGCTAGATGTTACAGATACTGTAAGAACAAGCCTTTCCCAAAGTCGAGATACAACAGAGGTGTCCCAGACCCTAAGATCAGAATCTTCGACCTTGGTAGAAAGAAGGCTAGCGTTGACGACTTCCCACTGTGTGTCCACCTTGTCTCCAACGAGTTGGAACAGCTCTCGTCTGAGGCCCTGGAAGCTGCCAGAATTTGCGCCAACAAATACATCACCAAGATGTCTGGAAGAGACTCTTTCCACATGAGAGTGAGAGTCCACCCTCACCACGTTTTGAGAATCAACAAGATGTTGTCGTGTGCCGGTGCCGATAGACTGCAGCAAGGTATGAGAGGTGCCTGGGGTAAGCCACATGGACTGGCTGCCCGTGTGGATATCGGACAAGTTTTGCTTTCTGTCAGAACCAAGGATTCCAACAAGGACGTTGTCGTTGAAGGTTTGAGAAGAGCCAGATACAAGTTCCCAGGTCAGCAAAAGATCATCATCTCCAAGAAGTGGGGTTTCACTCCATTGAACAGAGAGGAGTACGCTGCTAAGAGACAAAATAACGAGGTCAAGGATGACGGTGCTTACGTCAAATTCCTTTCCACCAAGGGCTCTTTGGAGGAGAACATGAGACAATTCCCAGAGTACTTCCTTGCTTAGGTAGGTAATGAAAAGTGTGTCTATATCACAGAGTAAGAGAACCAACTCGTTGTTTCTATTAATGTACACAAACTTATGTTTCGGGACTCCTTCGTATCGTCTGTTCCTCGTTCAATGTTTTGTACGCCATGTCGATGTAGTCCTCTTGCGACAGGAAACCCCTACCAGCCTCGCAAACGTGGATACTTTTGACCCACTCGCTCTGCCAAATCTGGTAAGACCGCATTCGGTACTTTGGATCTGGGTTAAGAATGTTGTATAGCACGTACCGTCGCGAGCTGGCACAAGGGCCCTTCGAGATGGATTCTATCTGATTGAAAGTTCCTTTTCTCACGAGCCGAAACTGTTTGTTTGCAGACTTCGACTTCGTTGTGTAGTCGTAAATCGCCCTCGTCTCGAGGAAGTGCTCGTAGCTCTCGTCACTCCGTTTTGCAATCTCCCAGACGTACGTGCCGTAGAGCATCACCAGATATATAATGCCGAGCGACCAGATGTCTGCAAGTCGCGGATCGTAGCTTTTGTCCGGCACAAACTGTTCAGGCGATACGTACCGCTCGGAACCGCACGCTCCTTTGCAAAACTGCACCTTGTCCTCCCAGGCCGTCTTGAAGACGGCCGATGTTCCGAAATCGATGATCTTGAGCTGTCCCTTGCGTGTCAACAGCAAATTCTCCACCTTTAGATCGTTGTGCGAAATACCCACGGAATGCAGGTACGTGATGGCGTTGAGGATCTGCTTGAAGAAGCAGTCGCATTCTACCACCTCCAGACCGTTTGTCATGGCTATCAGAGTGAAAAGGTCGCCGCACGGCATGAACTCCATCACTTGCGAGTACGTCATTGTCACAGGGTCAACCATCAAATCGTACACGTTGATGACGGCCTGATGCGTCAGGGATGACGAGATCATGAACTCGGACGTCACACGGTTTCCAAAATGGTGCAAACTCTCTCCCGGGCGCTGTTTGAGCTGCTTGATGGCGAAAAGCGACTTCTTTTTCTTGTTGTTGGCATTCTGCAAGGCGGAAATACAAACCGTACCAAACGAGCCCCGGCCTACCACGCCCCCAATGTGGCCGTACTTGGAGCTCAACGTCATTTTCTTGCTTTTGGAGTGCTGCAGCTTTTCTTTGAATTTTTCCGGCTTTTCTATTTTCTCCATCATCAGATTCATAAGCGCAAGTTGGTCTTTGCCTATGATCGGCTCTATAAGCTGATCATCCGCCTCGTCGTCAAAGTCGTCGTCTTCCTCTTCTTCCGAATCGTCGTCGGAATCTGAATCTGTGTCAGAATCGTCGTAGTTCCAGCGATAATTCTTGGGATCGCTCTTGAGCTCCATGAGCTGCAGTGAGTACGAGTCTGGCAGCAAACTAATACTGTTTTCAATGCTCACAAACTCATCGTCTTCGACTTCTCTCTTCTTGGTCCATCCCCACCAGGATTTGGTGTTTTTCGAGATTGGTGTCCGGTACTTGAGGTAGTCATGTTCGTGGACGGATCCGTCCGGGGCTATTTTGAGCCGTCCGTTCTTAAGCCTCATTAAATGTTCTCTCTGAGAGTTCAGGTGAATTTGGGAGTAGGAAGCGGACGAGGTGTGTTTGAGTGGATTATAAGGGTGCTGAGTGCTTTCCGAGTTCGCCACAGAAACAGAACTAGAACGCTGGCGCGAATTGTTCGAGTTGGACCGAGAAAGCGGTGGCGATAACGATTCCTCCGACAAGTTGTTCCCGAGAAACTTCGACATGAATTTTCCCGAACGGCCACGAGCAGGTGCCTGAGATACGACCGACGACGAAGACGAAGCGTTGGACCCGCTAGGTGGGATCGACGCTGGCGGTCTTCCTGGTTTTTCGGAACTTTCTATCACGCTGTCCAGGTCGTTTTCTGCCACCGGAGGCATCATCTTGAGTTTGCTGAGCGAGTCTACCAGCTCAGCGTTGGAAATGACCTTGTGTTCCGCAGCAGATTCCAGCTTCGGCGAGCTGTTGGAAGACCCAGTAGATTTGGGTGGGGACGCAGCCTTCCTTGTCTGACTTCCCGAACCCGCAGCCCGGTCCATCCTCGAAGCCTGATGTTCGTGGGGATTGAATAGATTCTTGAACCTGGTTACCGTGGAACTGCGGCTCCGGCCTGGAAGACCGTGCGGAAAGTCAGCCACCGACGAGTTCGACATTGTTTGGTACAAAGAGAAATCTGAGTCATCCTGATTGATCATCACGCTGGGCTGGGCCTTGGGCGACTCAGAGGGCACGCCCTGTTTTCTGAACAGCGGCATCAAATGTATACCAGGATCTGGACAAATGCGATGTATACAATGTATACAGGCAACAGAAGGCTGAAAGCTGTTTCAAAGTCAATAACTAGAGCTGTGCCTGGTTCTTTGGGCGAAGGTCAATTAATTAGTGTATTTTTTTTTTCTTCTTGCCCCATCTCCGCCACCGTTTTTTTATACATCCCTACACGGGAGGACCGAATAAATATATGCTATTATACCTATAATGGCTGTTCTGGTGCCTCTGCCCGGTGGTCAATAAATCCGTGCTCTTTTTCGTAAATGTGAGCGCTCTCCTGCTGGTCTGCTGCCGTCGGAACGTGCTTGGTTCCCCGCAGCAAATGCGTCACGTGAGCCAGGTCAGAGTTGGTCACCTGCTCCCAGAACCTGCCTATATCGGTGTTCTCCACGTTTCCGGCAAGATGCTGCCGCAACAGATGCCGTCCGCGCTCTGTGTTGCTGTGAGCATAAATATTCACGTCCACAGCAGTGTGGCCATGGGTAGACCAGCCCACCTCGGCCCTCACAGACACCATCTCCACGAGCAGATCGTGTATTTTCTCCTGGTGCTCCAGCAGCCGGAACACCTCTTTGTCGGTGTAGTCTGCAATTCCAAGGTCGTTCTCCAGGATTTCTGTCTTAATGAACTGTTCGAGCTTGTGTTTCTCAGAGTTGAGCTCCCTGAAGTTCTGGAACTTCTTGCGGAGATATTCGCCCGACTTGGTGGCATTCAGCAGCACCTCTGGCTTCCATAGATATTCAGGGTATCCAGGGCCCACCTGGCGCCCCACAGCAAGCCCGCCAGTCTCGTGATCCGACGTGGAGACCATGAAAGTCTCTGTTTCTGCCGAGTCGATGTAGTCAATAACGGCTTTGAACGCCTTGTCGTAGGCCAGCACCTCACGGACCTGTGCTGCCGGGTCGTTCGAGTGGCCCGCATGATCGATTCTGGACCCCTCGATCAGCAGGAAGAAGCCCTCGTCCGAGTCCTTGGTGGCATCAGTGAGCAACCTCAGAGCAGTCTTGACCTCCTCCTCCAGGCTTGGGTACTCCGTCTCCTCCCTATCGAGATCATAGGGTATATTGTAGTATGCAACCAGAGCCAGAAGAGGTAAGGAGGCGTTGTTGCCCAGTTGCAACTGGTCGAACTCCTGCCTGTTTGTGACCACCGTGTAATTCATCTCTTTGGCCTTTTCCAGCAAATTTGTCTCGTCGTCGCGGCAGCCCTGTGGATGCGACCTTGGCAAATAGAAACAGCTTCCTCCTCCAATCATCAGATCCGTAACCGGACCGAGGGTGGTGTCTAGTCCCAACTGCTGGTTCGCAATCAGCGACTGCATGAACCGGTAGTCAGCATGGGCATTAAAAGAGGCTGGAGTGGCGTCTGTAATGCCTGTCGTCACCACGAGACCCGTTTTGTAGCCTTTCAACTTCAGAGCCTCTAAAATGGTTCCGCACGGCTGCTTGTTGCCATCCACTCCAATAGCGCCGTTGTAGCTCTTAAGAGCACATGAAAACGCAGTCGCGCCCGCCGCAGAGTCGGTGATCAGCGAAGACGCGCTCCTGGTGCGACTGGAGCCGATGAAGTACCTGTCCAGAGTCAGCACGTCTTCAATGTCTAGGCTGTCTCTATATTGTCTAAAGTAGCGAGCCATATTGATAGAAGAAGGGCCTGTACCATCCGTGACCATCATGATGATGTTCTTCTTGCCGTTGGCATAAGTCTCAACGGCGTTGCCGTCGTCCTTAAGGCCCCGCCCCAAGTTGATAAGAGAAACAAAGAAGGAATAACACAGCAGACAGATAAGGGCCACGCGAACCTTGCTGCTCTGGTGCGACCGTCTCGCCGCATACGGCACCCCGCCACGCTCGCCGTCAAGCAGAGAATCGGCCAACGGGGCCGGTTTCAAACGATCTTGGTTCCGTTGCATAATATATAACGTGCCCAGATCCGTATCTGGCTTTTTTTTATGATTGTGTTTCATATATTACATAAGCAGGAATAAGCCAGGTCTATATCGTTTATTCTGACTCGGGCCGCATGTCGGGCGACTTGGCGTGTTGGTGCGAGTACTCGGGGCTCTGGATAATGGAGTCGATGACGTAATACTGGAAACTGTTCATGATGAGCGGAAATATGAGGACCACAAACGCGACCTGGAGATTCGGTACAGCGTCGGACCAGGACAGCAGCCAGTAGGCAAAGTGGACCAGAAACGGGCACACAACCAGCAGAATGTAGATTATGAGTTTCATCGACACGAGTCCGATGAAATACAGTGCTAGTTGCTTGAAATAATACGAGTATCGTGGTGGATTGCCGTATTGCCCAGACTCGATTCCCTCAATTCCTGCGTTTCTGGCGAGAGTATATATAACGTGGAGCAGGCCCCAGAGTATAGGAATGCCAATGGTTGTGTCGAAAAGGATGTTCAGGAAGTAGTAGTCGCAAGGATTATCGAAGTCTGGTTCTGGAGGTGACGGTGCGTTTGGCGGGCCTGGACGTGCTGGGCCAGCAAAATAGTACGGCGACGTTTGATTCGGTAGGGATGCAACCCATTTGTCGGAGTTGCCGCCGACGATGCTCATGAAAACGTTCAGCATGTGGATACCCAAGGCCCCGATGACCTGCTTGGACACGTCGAAAAACCATATTTTCCAGGGTCTGCGATTTGGGTACTCGCGGTAGCGCTTCCACACAAGCGACGAGAGAGCAAGCACGCCCAAAAATGCCTGGATTACCAGTGCAAACGGGCCCAGAAGCTCGCATTTATCTGACATGACAAGCAATAAATGGCTGAATTATTTTTGCACAGCCGAGAAGATGGTGTAAGGCAGGTGCCAGAGAGTGGAAGGGTGCAGTTAATCGTCTTGGGGGATAGTCAACATCAACCGTTGCAGGGCCGGTACGGCAAAATTTGGGGAAATACGTAAAAAGCAGGCCTAACGAATATTCAAAATTGTGGATCCATACGGCTCTACAAATGCCCCTTTCAGTCTGTGATATTTAATAACGAAATTATTTAATTCAAATTATTATTTGTCAATTACTAATAATGTCGGAACATGCCAAACAAAGTAAGTACACAGCTCTCCAAGCTAACAAATAGACAAGCCTAAGCCCTGCTGTGTGTGCTTGGATGAGAAGCAGCAGAGAGACCAGTGTCTGCTGACTAACGGCTCGGGGTCTGAAAAGTGCACAGACATCATCGAGGCCTACAAAAAATGCATGAGAGGCTACGGATTCGAGACCAACTAGACTGTCCCTAGAGACAGCCACATGTACATAGTTAGAAACTCCTGGTTGCTGTTAAATTAAACTATTTTTAATAGTGTTTACTCGACGTAGTTGGCCACGAGCTCGCTGAGCTCTGCGTCACTGGATCTCACCTGACTTTTCATCATCATGCCCTTGGAGCTGCTGGCCAGACGCACAATAGCGGCAATCTTGTCGCCGGCGATACTCTTACCATAGAGTTTGAGCGTGTGACTGGAGCTCGAGGCCACAACGTCTGTTGACTCAACAGGCATCATGGACATCGTTTTGACCAGCTTCAGAACAACGTCCTGGAGATCCATGTTGGCGGCGTCTCCAAGATTAAACACGGCCACACTCTCGTTTTGCAGCTCGTCCCAAGCGTGAGTGAAGTTGCCAGTGAACGTTGGCACCACATAGTCGCCTGGCACAATGCTGAGATCCTCGACCTGGTACTCGTCTGGGAAGCCTTCCTCGCCCTCTGCTGGCTCGCCAGTCGACGGGTCGACGTCCTTGGTGGTGTAGGACAAGGTATTGCCAAACACCGCAGGAACTATGCCTTCTGGTCTGCTGAACGAGACGTAGATGGACCCGCTAGAACCGGCCTTGAGAACATCAAGAGGCATGAGGAACTCTTCCGTGTAGTCTTCATTATCTGGCTGGGCCACAATCGACACGTCTTCCAGCTGGATCTCGGTCAGCGTGTTCTGCACGTTGTACTGGAAAACAACATATTTCTCAAAAATGTGTTTGACTGCAGTGACCACAAACTCGGTCTCCTTCTCAGTGAGTTCCACAACTGCAGATGAGTGCAGCAGACGTCCGTAAGCAGCAATCTCTGGGATGGCACCGAGCTCCTGCGCGTACTGTTGTTGCAACAGAGCAAGCTTGGTGGACTCCGGCACTTTTTCTTCCTCGAGCGAGGATTCATGGGCTTGTGCGGTTGGCTCATCGTAGATCGTGGTCTTCTCCTTGAATTCGGCAGCCTTGGCCTCCGTCTCTGTCATTGTAGGGATAGCCTTGATGTCGAATGGATGGACAAAGTGTTCCTTGTCTGGGTTGTTAACGTAGAGAGCGAGCTGCTGCTCAAGAACTGGAAGAGAATACTTGAACGTAGGTGCGATGAAGTCCTTGGCCTGCTCGATATCCTTGGTGGAAAGCAGCTTTAGAGACAGTGCAGCTCTGTCTCTGACCTCGTCGTCAACGTCCTGCAGACATCTTTCGAGCAAAATCTTGATACTCTTCGTGATAGATTCGTTGCCGATGAGTGCAAATTTGGACAAAGCAATAACGGCAGACGAGCGAACGATCGAGTTCTCCAGAACAACACGGTTGTATATGTGCCTGATATACAGAGTCGGGTTTGATGTCTTTGGTCCCTCCTCTCCCAAAAGATGCAAAACTCTAACTGCCAGTTCCGTGTACTCGCAGTCCTCGATGAACTCGCATAGCATTTCCAAGGCCAGCTCTCTAGATTGCGGGATGAACTTGATGATGTCGAAAATCGCCTCTATGATGGCATTTTTAAAGTTGAACCCTCCCTCGTCTCTCAGCACGTCGTTCAAGAAGTTCAGCATAGATTGGTGTTTGTCTGGGAACTTGAGCGACAGCGTCTTTATGGCGTCGATGACAATAATCTTGAACTCGTCAGAGATGTCGTCCATGAACCCGCCGATCGTCTTGACCAGTCTGTCGACGTTCTCCGAGTTGCCGGTCTTGAGCAGCGTCGTGATCGCGTAGGTCGACACGGATCTGTTCGAGTCGTTGATCAGAGACTCCAGCTCAAGGTTGCACACCATGATTTTCTCCGGGCTCTTCATGGCAATCTTGTTGAGAATTCTCACGGCCGCAAACCGCGTCACCGTCCTTGGAACCGACAGCAGCGTCTGCAAAGTGTTGATGGCTTGCATCTGCTGTTCTGGCAGGAATCTAGGCAGCGACAGAATCGTCTTTGCAGCCTCCAACTCGACCATGTCGCTCTTGTGCTTGAGCCAGCCAGGGAAGAATGGCCACAGCGTCTGGGTGAGGTTGGGGTCCTCTTCGATCAACTTGCCAACGTATCTTATCAGCTGCACCGTGGCCAGCGAGCTTTTCAAAGGCTGCTGCGTGTTGAATTGCTGGATCATTTTCATCAGCGCCATTTTGTCGTGGTCTCTCAAATGGTACAGCAGACCCAACGCGTGGTACTGGTAGGTATACGTTGCTGTGAGGAGCTTGTTGGCACCGTAGTGCTCGTGCATGTTGTACTGGGTCTGCGGAAACACCTTATTCGAAGAGATGGCCTCCTGTGTCTCGTTGGTCCATCTTCTCACAACGTCCTTGGCCACAGGTAACAGGTGGTACGACGAAACCAAAGCGGCGGACGAAACGTTTGGATTTCTGTCCACAACACAATTTTTCATCGCTCTCTCGGCAGCATGGATGGTGCTGCCATCCAAAACCCGCGCCAGTGTTCTCACAGCGTTGGGCTTGTACAGAATGTCGCCGCCTTGGATATCCTTCATGATCGAAGCCGTCGCCATCAAAATGTCGTCCGACAAAGAGCACAATTCCTTGATGGCCAAATAGACCAGCTGTCTCAACGAGCTGTCGTTGTGGTGGAACAGCTTGGACGTGGAAAAGAACAGGTTAGTGGCCTCTGTCTTGGGGAAAGTCTCGCCCGCATACAAAAGTCTCAACAGCCTCGACAACAACAGTCTGCACCGCTTGGCGTGGATTGGACTGGCATTGAACGCCTGCAAACACTCCTGGTATACGGTCATTTTGTCCGGCAGCGTGCCGGAGTCAATGTCCTCGAACTTTTTATAAGTATGAGTGGACATGGCAAAACAAATACGTGGAAACAAAAAAAGAATACAAAAAAAAATATACTAAGCAGAAAAATAGTGTTTATTGGATCATCATGAGAAGCTGCGAAAGACACGTTCTAGTAGCCGGGTCGTCACGCAAGAGCGACGCAAAAACATCGGTCTTCAGAGCCTCGGGAAGTCGGTCCCTGAGTGCAATCCGCGCCTCTGGATTGTCTGCCAGACGAGAGTAGCAGCGGATCACGTGCTTAAGTAAGCGAGCAGTAGGGTTGGCCACGAGCTGGTCGATCATGAGCCGTAGCACGTTCGAAACGGCCTCGAACCGGTCGAAGGTCTGGCACGTGTACGCGAGCCCAGCGTCGTCCATGAGGATCTTCTGGACTATGAAGATGGCGACTGTTTTGGAGAGCTCCGAGGAGGACTCCATGATTTTGAGACACAGGGGGATGATCTCTGTGGTGAGCAGGAACTGGATCACCTCACTGGTGTCATTTTTCACGAGTGCGCCGATCACGCCGAGCGATGTCAGCCGTAGGTACTCGAACGGCCGCTGTTTTGAGTTGGTGTTGAGAAACGGGTATAGAAATAGTGGAATCTGAGCGTTCAAGAACGGTGTACGGGTGTCGGGATGGGAGGCGACGCATTGCAACAGCGCAAGCGCGTTGCACACCCGGTTTGAGGCCGGCGTGTTGAGGTTAGGCGGCGAGAGCAGTGGGTACACAGCGACAATCTCCTCAAGCAGGCTGGTCATGACGCCAAACGAATTCCACAACACCAAGGCCAGGTCGTCGTACAATTCCCGCTTCTTGCCCAATTCCAGCAGGGCCTGCTCCTTGTTGGGCCCGTATACAAGCTCCACGATCCACGTGTACACTTTCTCGTCCGTGAGCGCCTTTATGGTCTTTGGCTGGTATGTATTTTGCTGATCGTCCGAGGGAAACATAAATAAAAAATTTCGCCAATGTCTTCAATAAATTAATATTTTGTGCGGGACTATATAAGGATACGCTCTTTCCTTTCTTAATTTGGCAGCTCGTAGTTATATTTTCTGCGGATGTCGTCCACGTACTTCCACCGCTGTCCCTTTGGGCCCCTTACCATGACGTCCATCCGAGCCCTGTCGGCCGTGTTCGTCTTATCTCCCAGCCAGATATCGGCCACAGGAACAAAGTCAAACTTGGCGTAGATGGGGAGGTTTTTCAGCGAGCTGCTCTCCAAATACGTTGTGGCGTTGGCCGGGTCGATGTGGTTGGTGAACATATAATCCATGACCGCGCGAACATTGCCCTTCCCACGGGCGCGCGGGGTGGAGCCGAGATACACAAGGGTCCATGTGTTGGCTCCGTCCGGGTCCACAGCCATGATCTCGGCATAGTTATCGTGTAGCACCTTGAACAAGGTGCCAAACACTCGACGACGGCCCTCTGCGCCCGTCAGCCAGGCCAGTCTGGCAAATCCAGACCGCACAAGTGTCAGATAGTCGTCGACGGTGGAGTCAGGGTGCGCGAAAACGGCGACCGTCTCAAATGTGTTGTGACTCTCATGGTCTTCACCCTTGACCCCGACAACCAGACCCTTCAGAATATGCGAATGCACATACGCTTCGTACATGAGGAGGTCGCACTTCTCCCTCAGCTCGGGATCGTGTTCCAGGTGGCGCGAAACGTACCGTGCCACGTCATCGTTGTCGAAGGACTCGTATAGCGTACGCGCTGCTTTCTTGCAGTCGGCAAAGCTCAGAATTTCGACCTTGGGAGTCTTCATATGGTCAAAATAGATGAAGAAAAAACGTTATCAAATGTTTCTGATCCTACCACTTTCCGAAAACGGAAGGTCTACTCTGAGAAAATTAAGTCTAGGGTATTATCTGATGGTGGTGACTGCAATGTCCTTGCTCGTGTTGGCAACCTCGGTCTGCAAGTCGAAAAGCTTCCAGAACTTGAGGTTCTCGTCTGCTGCCACCGTCGCCAACGTAGTGCCGTCAGGCGACAGGCTGCTATGCAAAACTCTGGAATCGTGCGCACCAGCCACAACCCCCGTTCTCAGGAGCGAAGGGTAGCTGTAGATACTAATGTCATTGTTGGGGAACCCGTGCGTGGCAGCGATCTCTGTGCCGATGCCGTTGGAGTACCCCCATCGCAGCGAAGAAACCTGCGAATTGGTCTCGATCGAGTTGACCCGAGCCCCCGTGGTGGTGTTCCAGAAATGGATGCGCCGACACGTGGACCCCCCGCCGGTGGCCAGAAGACTCGTCTGGGTCGGGCTCCACGCCAGCGCCTTGACGGCAGCCGTGTGGCTGGTTTTGGTGAACTGCGGGACGCTGGAGCGCGCGTCCCAGATATTCACCACGTTGTCGTTGCCTCCAGACACAAACTGCATCCCGTCTCTGCGCCACTCGATACCGCACACTTCGGCGGTGTGATTATTTAGCTGTGAAACTATGTGCTGCGATAAACGCACATCGTGGTGGAAAATCTGGCCCGTGCGGGACCCTGACGTGAGCACGTGCTCGTTCCACGCGTGCGCAGCCACGCGAGACTGATGGCCGGCCATGACACGCAGCCGCGACCCGGCCTCGGGGTCCCAAATCTCGACAGAGCCAGAGTCGAGGCCGATCGAAAGATATCCACCCGTCTCGGACCAGCGCACGGAGGTGACAATGCTGTCGCACTCTGCAGCCAAGTCGACGTCGCCCGTCGTGGCGTTCCAGTAGTAGACACAGTTTTCCAGCGCGATCGCCAGGATGTTGTCACGTGACCACGACAGCAGGTTGAGGTAGAAATCGTCGACAAAGCCGGGCGCATCGAGCACTTTTTCCGGGCAATTGGGCACTTTCTTGATCCGTGCCTGTGCCGCCGCGGTAGAGATCGATGTCTTGGTTTTGAACTGCCCGCTTTTAAGCTTCGACGCCTTTTTGCTTGCTGGCGGCAGCGGCTGAAATTGCAAGATCCGCTCGCCAACTTCCAGACCGCACGCCTCTGCCACCGTATCCTGGTAAATCTGGGCTGTCTGCGACTCGATGTGCTCGTAAGGCAGCCGACATTGTGAAGGAAGCGCCTCTTCCAGAGACAGTTTGCCAGACGTTGTCTGGCGCGAGGGGATGAACCTATCTAGCAATTCTGCTGTGTTGGTCCTGCGGAGCTTTTTTGGAGATCCAGAATTATCCTGGCTCGGGAACTTCAAGCTCATGTCTGAGCGAGCATGGTTCGACATGGACCAGTCCGACAAGACGACATTAAAGTTGGGCGAAATGATCTTCTTGCCCTCGTAGATAGAGTTGCGGTTCTGCGAGAACAGATTAGGGCTGGCGTTGCTGAACACTGTTCGGTGACCAGGGGTAGAAGGGGCCATAGGAAGAGATGGTGAAGAAATAAAGGGAGAGTTTTTTTGTTGATGTGTTGCCCGATTGGGGAGTGTAATGGGTGTAGGGTGGATAAGGCTGTGCTGAAACGTGAAGAAAACTGCCATGCTTACCTAATCCCGGGTATAAGCGGCAGGACTCGAGGTTTTGTGCCACGTGATCGGGCAAATCGGTCGGATCGTCCCCAGTTTCCCGAAGCGCTGTCATTTTCGCAGAGCTCAAGAGGGGCGAGGTTGTCATGGCACCGCGGGGATTTACCAGTCAATGGCCTGGGATTGCATGCCTTGCCCCCTCTGAAGCCTCAGAGACTCACTCATCTTTCGCTTTGCCATGCTCTTGTATGGCGCTATTGACCAGCTAGCCAAGAGTCCATGCCGGCGTTCCATGCATGGAAAATGTGCTGAGCCACTTATGAGATCACACAAGCAAGCAGATGAAATTGAGGCGTCACAAACAACAATTGTTCGGTTGTAAGACGCTTCGTGATGTTCTTTATGTGCGTTCTGCTGCATATTTAGTTATTGTTCCACCATGGGGCAAATTTCAAGGACACCGTGGACCGAATTTCAGGTGGCAGTATAAATACATCATCCCTCTATCATAGAAATAGCAGCAACCATGGGATTATTCGATCAAGTCAAAGAGAAATTGGGCGACGAGAACTTCAGAAACGAGGTCAAGGAGAAGGCTACCAGCGCCTACAACAGCTACAAAAACAAGAAAAGCAACGATTCGAGCGATTCTTATGGATCGGGAAGAGACAACAGCTACGGGTCTTCTGGAAGGGACAATGATAACTACAAATCCGGAAGAGACAACGACAGCTCGAACTCGTACGGATCTAGCTCGAACTCGTACGGCTCTGGCAGAGATAACTCTGATTCCTACGGATCTGGCAGAGATGATTCCTACGGCTCTGGCAGAAATAACTCTGACTCCTACGGCTCTGGCAGAGATAACTCCGATTTCTACGGATCTGGCAGAAATAACTCTGATTCTTACGGCTCTGGCAGAAATAACTCTGATTCTTACGGCTCTGGCAGACATAACTCTGATTCTTACGGCTCTGGCAGAGATGATTCCTACGGCTCTGGCAGAGATAACTCCGATTTCTTCGGCTCTGGCAGAGATAACTCTGATTCCTACGGCTCCGGCAATTCAAACTCGTTCGGATCTAACAGAAACGACTCCTACGGTTCTGGCAGAGACAATTCCGACTCGTACGGATCCAACAACGACTTTGCTGGCAGAGGCTCCGACTCGTACGGCTCTGGCAGAGACTCTTATGGTTCTAGAAACGACTACTAAATAGCTAAAAATATTTTATTTGTTTGATAACTTTTTTAAATGCTTCGAATGGCGGGGCCGATAGAAACAGCTATTAAACGCAAGCTTACGAGCGAATTCTCACCCAAGTACCTTGCTATTGCCAACGACTCGCACAAACACGCACACCATGCGGGTATTCGCGGCGCTACCAACACCACTGAGTCGCATTTCCGCATAACCATCGTGAGCGACAAGTTTGCCGGAGTGCCCCTGCCGGCGCGCCACCGGCTGGTGTACAAAGCGCTTGACCACGAGCTACAGAATGAGGGCGTCCATGCACTGCAGCTGAAAACCAAAACTGAGCCAGAGTGGGAGCGAGAACAAAACAAATGAATTAATATATAACCTACTCCTCTTGCAATAACTTGATGTAGTCCTCCTCCGAAAGCAGGTCGCCGTCCAGCTCGCTGACCTTCATTTTGACAATCCACCCGTCTCCCATCGGGTCCTTGTTGACGAGCTCCGGGCTCTCCTCGAGCGCAGTGTTCACCTCCACAATCTCGCCGTCCACGGGAGAGTACACTTCAGAAGCAGACTTGACACTTTCCACCGAGCCGATAACGTCGCCTTTGGAAACGGTTTCCCCCACGGAATCATGTGGAAGCTCGATGTATGTGGTATCGCCCAATGCATCAGAGGCATACTTGGTGATACCCACAAACGTGGTGCCGTCTGGGTGGTGCGATAACCACTCGTGCTGATCGGTAAATTTGAGCACCACAGGGCCCGCAGAGTGCGTGGAAACGATCGATTTAGGGTTCAGCACGTTCGATTGGTTTCTCAGAAACAGTCTTGGCGTAGATCTGACCAGCTGGCGAGACAGGGTAGAGATCATAGTTGGGGGAAGTAATGAGATTATCTAAAATATATTATATACGTTGCGCGAAAAATGTGGTTCCAGAGTCACCAAGTCAATTTCCTGTACGTCCGGTCACCTGCCAGAAATCGATATTTTTGTGGAGCTCGCGGGACAGGCAAGAGAGTGGGGGGATGATCTGCACCACTTTCGTGAAGAAATCGAGTGCAAAGCGGTTGATGAAGAACATCTGGGACGCTCCCAACTTCGGCTCCATCTGCACAGCCTCATGAGGCGTGATTTTGGCCAGCGACACTTGCGGCACGGCGGACCGCTGAACAGGGGCCTCGCCTTTGAGAACGCTTTCCAGCTGCGCGATTTCGGCAAACTCGTTGCCCAGACTTAAACCCCACTTAACTCCTTCGCCGATGGGCCGGCAAACGTTCGAGATATCTGCGCTCTTGAGGATGATTGCGCACATCAGTTTCAGCTTCTCGGGCCGCTCCTTGTAATCCGCAATCCTGTCCATCTCCCCTACGTACATGTCGTGCTGGGCCATATCGGTTGCCAAAATTGACCATCTGGCAATCTCCACGCATCGGTCATCCTTGACAAAAAAACATTTCATGATGTTGAGGTACTGAGCCAGATGGTATTTCTCCAATGTAGACTCATTATTAAATATCTTCGCGATCGGCGTTTTGTAAGACGCCAAGAACGCATTCGTGGTGCCAGGATGTCCTATGTCATGCCCCACAGCGGCAAGCAACAGCGCCAATCTCTCATGGGTGCCGAACTGGAACTCGTACGCCGACTCCACAATAGTCTCCAAAAAATAGTTTGTGGCCTGCATCACGTCAATTGCGTGGCGGAAATTGTGGAACGGATTGCCCTGTCTATAGTAATCTCGCACGCAAAAGAAGAAGAGCAGCACGCGGTTATGGAACTCGGGTGTCTGGAATTCCGCCTTGTAATCCTTAAGAACGCGCAAAATCATAAGATAACCGCAATACAACAGCTCGTCGTTGGTGAGCTCAAACGCGTGGAACTCCCAATCGGCAATCTTTTTCTTGTAGTATGCATCGTCGTGTGGAATCTTCAGCAGCTCGATATACCGGATATCCGAGCTCAAGAGCGTTATATACTCCATTCCCGTCGGTATGTCCACAGTGGTTCGCAACATGGTGGGCATAGTGTTCAGCTGCGGTATCTTGTCGTAGTCTGTTAGTCCGACCCATGTTTGCACCCTTAGCAAACGTGTCTTGATTAAGTTGCGAATTTTGTGTAACGTGGGGACAAAATGCTCACAAAGTTTTGCCCCCACTTGGGCATCGCTCAGGGAGAGACACTCCACCACGAGGTTCAAATGGTGAAACCGGTAGCTGAGCAACTTTTGTTGTTGGGCAAAGGGGAGTCTATCTAGCGCGCTGCCGTCGCCGTGTTTGTCTGTGTTGATAAGAAGCCCCACAAAGTGGTCGAGTTCGACTTCGTCCACGTTAGAAGTGCGCTCCAGCCCTGCAGGCCCCTTCGTGAATGTGTAGCTTGCATAGGTCGATAGGTAAATACATAGTGACGTGATATTGGGGAATGTAGTGAATTTTGTTTGCAGAGGATCAAACAACTGAGTTACGGTGTCTGGCACAGGTGACTGGGCCGGATCGACCACCAAAATCTCACCGATCATGTTATTTCGCAAGGTTATGGAAGAGGAGACTAATTTGCCATTAAAACTCGCCTGTTTCGGATTCCAGAATTAGTCGCCGTGAAAAAGCCGATGGTGCGGGCGCTTAATCAAATATCAGCCGGTGTATTCTCAAGTTTTCGCAAGTCTCGCGGGTCTTGTCTGGTTATACTGATTCTGCGCTTACTGTTGCCCAAGGTATTTTTCGCTATCAACTTTTTCTCCCAACAAGTGCTACTGTCTGGGTCGTTTCTTTTTTTCTTGGAGGTGGGTTTATTGTTTATTTTATTGTCACGGCGATTCCCGACCGTTGCTTTCGAAGCCTTTGCGCGCGAATTTAGGGGCTCGGAATTTTCCAGGGAAAAACGGCTCCGCCAGACAGGTAACGGTTTGGCATAGCCCTAAAAGCAGCGGTCTACATAATTTATGGTGTACGGAGTGCACCTACTAAAGCCTCGTATTATCAATTCCTGGTAGCCAGACCAGCAAAGTAGACATACTAGTCGTGTAAATTCTCCTTCACGAACGCGAATGACTTGAGCAACTTGTTGCGCGCGCCCACCGTGCTCACACCCAGTTCCGCGAGTTGCGCGTCGTTCAGCTCGATCATCTCCTGCCATTTTAGGTGCTGCAGGTTGTCTGTATATTTGTGCAGCCTGAGCGTTTTCAGCCATGCCGGGATGTCTGCCAGCAGCGACTTGGACGCGATATCCCTGGGCACCGGTGATTTTGGTGGCACCGGGGCGTGTGACGGCGACTTTGAGGCCACTTTTGGCTGTGGAGAGTGGATCGCGTTTTTAGCCGGTGCCTCCAGCTTCGACGAGCCGCGGGGAGCAGGGGGCAGCGAACTTGACTGGTTCTGCGAAGCGCGTCTCACAGCTCCGCGGCCTCTGTCTTCCGAGCTGGCCACAATGCTGCTCCATGTCGGAGCAGACGAGTTTGTCTGTTTGGTCTTGCTGTGGTCGATCTTCGAGCGATGGGTGATGGTGTTCAGCGAGTTGGAGAGCTTGATGGCGTTGGAGCCGCCCAAATCTGCCGAGGTGAGTCCGAATTGGCCGCTGCCAGCCGGCTCCATGAACTCCTTGGTGCGTCTCTGGAACCCTGAGGGGTCGACGTCCGGCGAGAAGACACGCAGCAAGGGCGCAGTCGACTGCGACTGGTGTTGCTTGGTCTGCGCACCCAGTTGCGAAGCACGTTGGAACTGTCCATTCAGCGGCGTCAGCGACAGATCCGAGTGCATCGGGCCGGCGCTGCGAGGCCGCATCACCGGGTCGCTGCCTATCACGTGCGAGAGCGAGTTGCCCGTGCGCATCTGCGAGGGCAGCTGGTGTACTGGTTTTGGCTGGGCCAGCGGGTCTGCGGTCTGGTCGTCGCTCAGAATCGAGTCCAGCGTCGCCGACTCCGAGTTCAGCGCAAGCAGCGGCGACACAGGGCGCATTGGCGCCTGGTACAGATTGTTGCTAGAGAGCGGCGGCGAAAAAAGAATGCCGTGCTCGTTCTGCGTCCGGGTGGCGGTGTCGTTGACTTTGCTCTTCACATACTGCCACACCTCATCCTTGATTTCCGCCAGAAACACATCCATACACGTCTTCTGCTCCTCCGGGTTCAAGTGCTTGACCCAATTGGTGAATGTTTTCAGATCCTGGGTGAATCCTTGCAGAACAAGCTCGGTCTGGGGCTCAAAGGCCGGCACGTCGTTTTCGTTGCCGTAGCCGATGGACGAGCTGGGCCGGTCGATGAAGTAGCCCGACGAGCCAAAACTGGTGTTGTGGATGGGCTCGAGCAAAGGCGACCCGTCAACCGGAGGGACGCTGCCAAGTGGGGGGATTGCGGCCGTAGTTGCTGAGGGTTCAAAAGCGTACCGTGAGGCAGGGGGCGAGAGTACAGCCATGCTAGTCGTTGGGGAGGTGGGGGAGAACAGTAGCGAGCCCTGCTGCTGTGTGGAGGCCGAGTCACTGAGATCTTTATCCATTGGCGGGTTGAGCCGAGCAGAACAAATTTTTAATATGTGGCAGAAACGAATAATATATACAATGTTTCCGGGCTTTATTTTTACAGTCAATTGCGCTGCACCGCATAGCATCTAGCGCGGGGCAGGCAAGGGCTTGTGGGAGAAAGCGTGTGGCACTGACACTGTGAGCAGGCACGCAATTGCGTCGCTCCCAGTGTATCCGCGATTACATAATCCACCGCCTAATCTGCCCGTCTCGAATGTTCGGCCTGGTGCTGTCTGGTGACATTTCATATGTCTTGAAAAACACATCCTTGCACAGAGACGGTAAACATCTACGTTATGTCCAACCAGTCAGGAATCAACTGTAAGTGCCGACAGGAGTCCCCTCTCTCCGCGTACGTACTAACCTAAGGTTCTGTGGAGCTTGTGGATGCATTTAAGGATTATGTTGCCGGCTCGGAGCGGGCATTTTTGATGTCCATTGAAGACGAGCGGGTGGTGCCCAAGGGCGTGGTCGCAGGTTCTGGCGACTTGAGACGGGACCTTGATCTGTTGCAGAATGCAGTGGCCGACCAGGCGGTGTATTTAGTGGTGCGCAACGACGACATATCGGGTAAATTCATATTCATCTCGTTTGTGCTGGACAACGCCCCGGTGAGAAGTAAGATGCTGTATGCCTCGACGAAAAATACTGTGATTAGACAGCTGGGGGTGGAATTTTTCCACCCAATTGTGTTTATTAACGACAAAGATGAACTGAGTGGGGATGCGTATGAGACTCTGCTTGGCACAGAGGGCGCAAAGCCACTAAGCTCAAGCGAGGAGTCGCTGGCTGCAGTGAAGCAGATGGAGCTGCTAAATGGGGGTGGTATCGAGAGACGGAAACAGCAGCTAGTCGGCACCGGTTCAAGCGGACTGAACATGAGCGTGGATGGCCACCTGCTGGATAATCTTAGAAGGCTGGATACGGGCCAGACCGCGACGATTGTCATCAGCGGGGACGAGCAGTTCCGCGTCGATGGCACCGCCACTGCTACGGGGCTCGGCGACATTGCCTCCACAATCCCCACACATTCCCCCACGTATACGGTTGCCCGCTTTGGCAACGGATACTACTTTGTCTACTGCTGTCCGTCCGGCTCGAGAGTGCGCGACCGCATGGTGTACGCGTCGAGCAAACAGGGCTTGTTGAACGACCTGAAAAGCGGTGGCATTGACTTTATAAAAGTGGTGGAAGTGGGCGACCCAGACGAAATCGTCGCCGACGAAAGACCCCTGCCGGCCCCTGCTGCCCAAACTTTCCACAAGCCAAGAGGCCCAAGAAGAAGATAGAGGTATTTAGTTGTTCTGATCGGTCCAGAGAGTGTCCTTTGCTGACTCGGAGTTGTACTTGACGAGTTTTTTGCGCTTGCCCGGGTTTTCCACAGCGCTGGTGGTGCGGGCGAGTCTTTTTTTGGTTTTCTTAGCTCCGTAGCTGCCTTTGAGCGTGTTCATGTCTGTGAAGATGATCTGAAACTTGCCCGAGCCGGGCTCTGGCCGTCGGCGCGGTGGCGGCACGGGTTTCTGGTCCTGAAAGATGCCAATCACAGGCTCCATATTGGACGCCGACTTGACCAGCTGGCACGGCACGCTTTTGAACTGCGACTTCGCCACCGGCGTCGGCGACATTTGCGGGGCGGGGTTTTGTTTCTGTGCAGATGCAAGAACAATCGTCGACGGCGAAGATTGGTGGTGGTCCTTGAGAGGCGTCTTAAAATTGCTCGGCGTGTTTGTCTTAGCACTCAGCCGTCTCACGCTCGTGCTTTGCAGCAGCTTCGGCGTATGGACAAGCTCGTGCAGCGGCGTCTTGAAGTTCGGCGTATCCATGTTGGCAAACAGCGGGTGATTTTCTTTGTTGTCGTTCTCGATGGCTAGCAGCGCATTGAGGTCGTACTGGTTCATGGTGGGCGTGTCGATAAAGAAGTCCGACAGCTTGAGCGTCTTGTCGGGCGCGGGCGTTCGCATTTCCTGCGTCTCGAAGTTGCCCGGCGAGGACCCCGGCGCGCGCGTTCGCTCCATGTTGGTCATAAACACCTTGTCGATGTAGGGCGTCCAGCCGGTGCCCGACACCTGCGACGTCGCGGTTGCCGGCGGCGGCGGCTGCACGCTGGCGTCCTCAAATAGCTGGTCAAACAGTTTGGACGGCGATGAGCTCAGATAATCATGGCGGGTCATAGCTGGGGCAGCAAACAAGGGTCTGTTTACTGTTTCACAAGCAAAAATTAGGTAAACAAATAATTTGATCGTGCTCCAAGCCACAGGAGGAGCGGAAGGTTAGAATGCTGCGCCACACGCAAAAAATAAGTAAACAAATGCCTAGGGACCCGGAGTACACCGATTACACGGAGGAGACGGCAGAAGATGACTCCGTGGGGGCCGAGGACCAGAATGCCCGCCCCGCTGGTAAGAAGTACATTCTCAACTCCAACTTCAACGAGCCCTCGCCCGAACACAAACAAACACCCCCCACCGACTGGATGCCCGAGGTCCTGCAGCATGAGCACTGGCCGGATACACAGGACGCCTCTAAGGACGCCTCTCAGGACCCCTATTTGTCATTGGGAGAGACAAACACGCTTGTGCGTCGCCAGGGCGGCGATGAGGCCGCGTGGAGAAAGTACAAGGACAACCGGTTCAGAGCCGGTTTGCAGGGCTTGCCGACCTCGTCGCTGCCGCAGGACCCGCCCACGGTAGACACATTTGGCCGCAGCACAGAGCATTCGATCATCCCGTCGTCGCCGCTCAAGCTGTTTGGCAAGCAGGACACCTACACGACGGAGCGGTTCAGGGACATGCTGAACAAGATCGACGGGTCGGACGGCGCGCGTGCGGACGGCGACGGGTCGCCTGCGTCGACGCGATCGTCGTCGCACGCGTCGTTGCAGCTACTTCTGCGAAACTCCGAGGAACTGTTTAATAAGCTGAAAAACCGCACGCAGCCGGCACAAAACCAGGAGGACAGCGACTACACGGACACGGAAACGGCCGAGTCGGGAGTATTCGACTCACCGACACCGTCGCGGCCCGACATCACCGCGTCGCTCGAGCTGCTCAAACAGAAGCTCGACCTGAGCATGTCGGGCGAGGTCGACCAGAAGATGTCTGTTCCAAAGATAAAAAAACGCGACAAGCGGCCAGGAATCAAGTTCATCCCTGGCGACGAGTTCAAGGGGAAGGTGTTTGACAAAAGAGCCAACAAGTTCGTCCCCGTCGAGGAGTACGTTCCGGACGGCGACGCCGACGGCGGGTCGATCGACGCGCTCAACGAGATCTCCGACCTCGACGACGAGATGTCCTTTTTGCAGGCCAAGTCGCGGCTCGTTGCGGCAATCACCGAGCAGTACCCTTCGGAGGACTGGCTCCGCCTTGAAAAGCTGTCTCTTGCCGCTCGCAGGCTCGATAAGCTGCGCGACCTCGACCGGTTCGTGCTGCACCTGCGTGTGCTCGACGCGAGCGAAAACGAGCTCACGCACACAGAGGGCATCCCCAAATCCATCCAGGTGCTCAAGGCCAGCGCCAATGCCTTTTCCAGCATGAGCATGTTCAATTTCGACAACTTACAGGTTCTTGAGCTGCGCAACAACCGGCTCACAAACCTGCGCGGCCTCAAACTGTACAACCTGAGCATGCTGGACGTGTCATACAATGCAATTGACAGCCTGCAGGGCCTGCAAAATCTCAAGATGCTCAAGAGCCTGAAGTTGGCGGGCAATAATCTCTCCGGGAGCGTTGATTTTGGCTCCCTCGACATGTTGCAGGACCTCGACGTGGACGAGAACGGTATTTCCGACATTTGCGGCCTTGACGCGCTGCCCGCGCTCACCTCCGTGTCTGCGAACCGCAACAAACTAGCCGGCTTCCGCTGCAGCAGCAGTTCATTGCGTCGACTGTGTCTGAGCTACAACAACATCAAGGAGCTGGACTTGGAGCCTTTGACGGAGCTGCGTGTGCTGAAAATTGACCGCAACCCGCTGGCGTGTCTTTCCGGCCTCTCGGACAAGCTCGTACAGGTCTCTGCCAAATATCTTCAGTCGCACGCTAGCAACGACGTGCTTTTGGCGCCGCTCTACAGACTGCAGAAACTGAACCTTTGCGGCAGTCTTTTTCCCACTAAAGGCTCTCTGTCCGCCATCACGGTGCTCAATCTGTCCGCGATGAATCTCGAGACGGTGCCCGACCTTGCCAAATGGTTTCCGATGCTGACGGACCTCGACCTCAACTTCAACAAGATCCACTCGCTCTCAGGCCTTTCCGGACTGCGGTTCCTGCGCGAGCTCAAACTTCTGAGCAACAGCATCAGAGACCTCGCGTCGCTCGTGCCGCACACACGCTCTTTCCGCAAGACACTCAAGCTGCTGGACTTACGTGTGAATCCAGCCACCCACGGGCTGTATCCATACGTCTTCTACGACGACGAGCCGGACGACGAGTCTGCCGCGGAGATGACACTAAACCTGAAAGACCACGAAGACATCGAGGCGTTCTCGGTGGAGTACACGAAGCTTTACGAGAAGGACGCAATGGAGAGCTGGACGCAGAAAAACGCGGGATATGTGCAGCAGATCGAGGAATCGCGTGCATTGGCGAGACGAACGTACGAGAGCACGCTGATTGGCTGGTTCGAGAATATCAACTATCTGGACGGGCTGTGGGTGAGCTACGAGAGACGCGAAAGAGAGCGCCGGCATCTGAGGTACGGCTGATGACGTAATAGAGGGCAGTGCGGTGTAAGAGCATGCTGGCGGTGTCACTCTCCGTCAACGGTTTCTTGAACTGTCACGTGGTTTTCGCGTAGCAATTTTCGCCTGGCAAAAAAACACTAAATTTAATTCACCATGGCCACTGCACAAGAGCTCGTCAAACAGCACAGATTTCTGATGCTCTCCAAGTCGTGGTGTCCCGACTGCCACTATGCCATTGCCGTGTTCAAGAAGTACAACGTGCTGGACAAAATCACGCTGGTGGAGCTGGACAAAATGCCTCCTAAGGAGGCTGGCGAGCTAGAAAAACAGTTCACCGCACTTTCCGGCCGCAAATGGGTGCCGACGATTTTCTTTAACGGCGAGGTGTTTGGAACTGAGCAGACCTTGAAAGAGCTGGAATCTAGAGATATGCTGCCGGGCGCATTTGAAAAAGCGGGTTTGAAATAAATCTCCACTCGGAGAGACGGTTGTGCAATATATTAGTAATAAATACTATTGGATGCCCAGAGAGGGGGAGTCCCTGTAGTCCTCTTTGCCGAGGAGACATCGCTCGTACCCCGTGTAGACTGGGGTAGGGAGGGGGTGTGTATGGCCGTCTACGGTTACTACAAACGGTAGTCTGTGCACCACAGAGGCGAGCCTGGCACCCAGGTGGTTGCGAAAGGCAGGGTGACTTTTTCCCAAAGTGGGGTAAGGCACGTACTCCGGCGGGGTGTTCTTGGGCGGCGCACGACCTTACGTCACCTCGAAGGTGCCAGTAAGGTATCCAGCAACGGTTCCCAGCAACGTTGTCATGGAAGGTAGCAGCAGGTCATGCGCATACTCCGGCAGTCTGCGCCGCGAGCGATGCCCGTCGCAGCCCCCCACTATGGCCATGTTTCTGACGCCGGAGCCCGAGCGATCGTAGCCTCACCCCCTCTTCTGCACACCCTGCCTCAGCCTACCCCACTTCCTCAAGGTCCTAGCCGTGGAGCAATTTCATTGGAGGTAGTGCCCTTGGACCGTCCAGCAGGTCATCTGGTGCAGAGCTGCATAAATTGAGGGGCCGCAGTATAAATACGCTGCCTCCCGCATTCATTGCAACCTAGTACTCTTTTCCCATCATGCTCAGAACCTCTCTTAGATCTTTGGCCAAGCCAGCCTCCAGAGTTAGCCTAAGATACTATTCTTCTTACCCGCTGTCCACCACTGTGACGCTGCCTAACGGAAAGTCCTATGAGCAGCCTACCGGTTTGTTTATCAACAACGAGTTTGTTCCTTCCAAACAGCACAAAACGTTTGAGGTGATCAACCCCGCCACCGAGGAGGAGATCTGCCACGTTTACGAGGCCAGAAAGGAGGACGTCGATGTTGCTGTCGACGCCGCAGAGAAGGCCTTCAAGGGTTCTTGGAGCACCGCCGACCCTGCTATTCGTGGCAAGGCCCTGTGGAACCTGGCCGAGCTGCTCGAGGCTCACAAGGATACCCTCGCCGCAATTGAGTCTCTCGACAACGGTAAGGCTCTGCAGCTGGCCCAGGGTGACGTGGCGCTCGTGATCAACTACATCAGATCGTGCGCTGGCTGGGCCGACAAGCTGACCGGCCAGTACATCGACACGGGCGATACCCACCACACTTACACCAAGAGAGAGCCTATTGGAGTGTGTGGCCAGATCATCCCATGGAACTTCCCTCTTTTGATGTGGTCCTGGAAGGTTGGTCCTGCTCTGGCTGCAGGTAACACTGTGGTGCTGAAGACGGCCGAGAGCACGCCATTGTCTGCCCTGTACGCTTCGCAGCTCGTCAAGGAGGCCGGAATCCCAGCCGGAGTGGTGAACATCGTGTCCGGATTCGGTAAGATCACGGGAGATGCCATTGCCAGCCACCCTAAGATCAAGAAGCTTGCCTTCACCGGCTCCACCGCAACTGGAAGACACATCATGAAGGTTGCTGCCGACTCCAACCTCAAGAAGGTGACCCTGGAGCTTGGAGGAAAGTCTGCCAACATTGTGTTTGACGACGCTGACGTCAAGACCGCCATCAGCGCCCTCGTTGCCGGTATCTTCTACAACTCCGGAGAGGTGTGCTCTGCCGGATCCAGAGTGTTTGTCCAGGAGGGTATTTACGAGGAGATCCTCAGGGAATTCAAAGCTGCTGCAGAGACGCTCAAGGTGGGTGACCCATTCGATCTGTCCACTTTCCAAGGTGCCCAAACTTCCCAGATGCAATTGAACAAGATTCTCGGCTACGTCGACATCGCCCACCAGGAAGGAGGTAGACTCATCACCGGAGGTGAGAGGCTGGGCAACAAGGGATTCTTCGTCAAGCCAACGATCTTTGCCGACGTGACCCCAGACATGAGAGCATACAAGGAGGAGATCTTTGGACCATTTGCCGTGATCACGCCATTCAAGACCGCCGACGAGGTGATCGAGCTGGCTAACGACTCCGAGTACGGACTTGCTGCTGGTGTCCACACCAAGTCGCTCGACACCGCCACCTACGTCTCCAACAAGCTTGAGGCCGGCTCTGTCTGGATCAACACTTACAACGACTTCCACCAGATGGTGCCATTCGGAGGATACAAGCAGTCCGGTATTGGCCGTGAAATGGGTGCCCAGGCTCTGGACAACTACACCCAGTGGAAGGCTGTGAGAATTGGTCTTCAGAAGCCAACTTAAGATGCCGACTAGGCTAGTAACGTATGTAAGAAGAATTCAGGTTGATGCAACAATTAACTTATTCCTTGCTTATGTAACCACTTGTTCTCGCTACGCTCCAGACTTTTTTGTGTCCCGTTTGCGCAAAACATAAACAAAGTAAAAAATATCAAAATAAAAACAATAACGTCAACCCTTCTCATCCTTTGCCAGCATGTTTTCCACGTTGGTGGAGAATTTCCAAGAGAATGAGCCTCTTTTCGACCATCCATTGCTCTTCCCGTCGCCGTCCGAGTCCGAAATCGCCCATTTCCAGAACGACAGGCTGCTCCAGGGCACCATCGAGTCTGCCGTTTGCCATCTAACGTCTCCCGGATCGATCGACTACCAATCTCTGGTCGACTTCTTTCTGTCGTATAGGGAGTTCATAGAGGCGTTGCCGCTGCTCGAACTGCTGCTTTGCCGGCTCACCTGGGCCCTCAAACGGGCCAACAACATTTCTGCCTTGGAGAACAATACCCAAGCTCCGCCAATGGGGCAGGCATTCTACTCCGCGATCTTAGTGCGCACCTTTGTGATGCTACGCCATTGGCTACTCAACCATTTCCCGGATTTTGTCAAGGATAGACGTCTCAGACAGCTGCTCTGTGGAGCTCTCAACGAGATCGCCACACGGGACGAGTTTCGCGGCGAACCCGATTCGCTGTGCACCAAGGTGATTGTCGACCTTAAGAAGTTGTATGCCCGCATGTGTTGCGTGTACTGGGACACCGGCGACGTGGTGGACGGTCTGGCCGATGCGGTGAATGCGCACGAGAACGCCCGTAATATGCGTGTGAGCGCGCTGGGTTTGCAGCATCTTAGGGACAAGAACGTGCGCCGGTCGCAGATCTTGTCGGTGGTGGAAGGCAGCGGCTCCCACGCCGAGGAAACAGCGATTTTGCATCCCAAAGCGTCACTCAACTGTCTCGCAAACCAGTCGCCGCTTTACGACGAGATATTGGGTGACGTCAAGGCCACGCCGATCCAGGGCGTGCGCAAGCTGAGCCAGCTGATGGATCAGGAAGACAAAGAAAACGGATTTTGTTTGAATGGCAAGGTGGACGTTTTTACAGAGAGCAAGGTGGAGAGGATCACGCCGACAACGCCGCTGAAGAAACTGGTTGAGCCTAAGCAGAAACACACCCACGGCTCGCGAAAAACACGAAAACTGTTCCATCTATTTAGCAAGCCCGAAACAACGCGTGCAAAGACAGTGGTGAGCGAAATTCCATTGTTGGGGTCGGACAACGTCGACCTACTCAGTTCCAGAGTGATCGCCGAGTTCGGCAACTACCAGGAACAAGCACAGTCGCGCCGACCGGTTCCCAAGGCAGCAGCTGCGCCAGCTGCACGTGATTCATCGGAGCTGTTCAGCGCCGAAGTTTACAACCAATCACCAACAAAGGGGAAAGAAAAGCGTACGGTGGACGACACAGAAGAGATTTTGAACGCGATCAACCATTCAAACGGCTCGTTTAGAACGCCTTCTGTGAGCATCAACTGGTCTTCGTTTGCTGACGGCACCGTCATGGAGGCCGACGTTGAGCGCATCTTGGAGCAGAGAGAAGAGCCGAGCGACACCTCGGCCAAGTCTTACATGTCTTACGACTCGGATCTTTCATCCCGTCACTCGCGACAGTCCAGCGGACACCACATGCTAAGAAAAAAACTGTCATTCTCGAACTTGAGGGAACAGGAGCATGAGCAGGAAAGAGAAGAGAAGACGGAAGAATCGGATCCCGAAATGCCCCAGATAGACGAGACCACCTCGCAGCCTACGCTCTATCTCTACGAGCTTCCATTTTTCGGCACATCCCTCCCCCACGAAGACGATTTCGAGTACGAAACAGAAACGGCCTCCATAATACTGTCCGGGTCGTACCGTCTTCCGTACCCCGGCATCTCCGAGAACGCCATTGCCGAGCTGGCCGCCATTCCAGACGAAAAATACACCGACAACCCAGTCAACCACGCATTGCTCAAGCTCAGAGGACAGCAGCCGGCTGCACAGCCCCAGGTGGTGTACGGACTAAATGACGAGCACTCGCAGGAGTCGGACTCCAGCCTGGACGAGGTCAAGCTTGAACGCAAGGTCCGCGACCTCTTTATCCAGCCAGCAGCCACGAAAACAGAACAAAAGGCGCCAACACCGTACCGTTTCTCGGTAGCACGGCATTCTGTTGCTAGTCACGTTTCCAAATTCACGCTCCAATCCTTGTCAAACACGCCCAGCAGGACGCTTGCAGTTCCTTCCGGACTATCTGTCGAGGAAATTATGTACAAGGGCACGCACGTTCCGTTTATTCTGGGGCACGAGTCGCACGTGATTGCCAAGCAGCTGACCCTCATCGAGCGGGACTTTCTGCTCGAAATCGACTGGCACGAGCTGATAGACCTGGAATGGGACAAGCCTCTGGAGCCGTACAACTCGTGGCTCAGACTGCTGTTCGACGAGCAGTCCAAAACAGGGCTGCGGATGATCACCCTGCGGTTCAACCTGGCCACCAACTGGATCATCTCTGAGATTCTGTTGTGCAAGTCTGTTGCTCTGCGAGCGCTCACGCTATCGCGATTTATACACATTGCCAACAACTGTCTCAAGATGCAGAACTACTCCACCCTGTACCAGATTGTGCTGGCTCTGAACTCATCGATCATCAAGAAACTAAAGGGCACATGGAACGCGGTGGACGTGGGCGACCTGCTGCTCTTCAAAAAACTTAAAGACCTGTGCAGCCCAGAACGCAACTTTGCCAACTTCCGTGCCGAGCTGCGGCAGATCCGTGCGTCCAAGGGCATCATCCCATTTTTGGCGTTGGATTTGAGCGACCTCACCGTCAACAGTGAGCGGCCAACCACGACCGTCGCAGAATACGAATTGATAAACATCGACAAATTCCGCGTCTCATGCGGTATACTCAAGAACATGCTCCGCAACATCGAGTACTCGAAAATCTACAGTTTCCAGAAACACCCGCAACTGCTGTCCAAATGTCTGTACATTAGCTGTTTGAGCGAGCAGGAGATGGATTATTGTTACAGCCATCTAGAAGAGTGAGTTTCAGTATATGCTGATTATCAAGACCACCACGCTCAGCAGCGCTAGAAGCAGCATGTTGTGCTGCACTCCACGAGCGATGATTTCGCTTTTTTTCTGTCCCTCGACAACGCGGAGGTCGGCGTCAAAAATGTCCAGTTTCGCTTTGCTGACCTCCAACTCGCGCTTGACCACGTCCAGCCGCGAGTTGAGGTCGTTTAGGTTGCTGAATATGTCGCTCGTGCACAGCTGGTCGATCTCCTGTTCTTTGGCCCCCAGCACGTTCAAAAAGCCCGTCAGATTGTCCAGATTTTCCTCCAGATGTCTGTTCAGCAGCTCCAGATCCTGCGTGCGGAAGTTGAGCTCCTTCATCAGGTTCATATTTTCTGTCTCGATGCTCTCAAGCCGCTTGTCGACGTTGTCCGCCACGAGCGACTCGAGCTCCTCGAACTTGGACCGCACTTGCAGACACACGCTGGCGCTGCGTTTGCGGCCAATTTTCGAGATGGTCGGGCCCAGCACTTTGGTGGGCGAGATCTGGTCGGAAACGCTCGGCACGGACAGATAATGTCGGTGGTTCGAGCCCTGGATATTGACAAGCGAGGCGGAGCGGTCGATGCTTCTATGCGGCGTGTTGTGGCTCGTGTTGCTGGGCGTGACGTACAGCGACGGCACCGACGGCACCGACTGCTGCGATCCGGCAGACACGAAGCCGGGGCGGTCGACGACGATCTGGGGACGCGGAGGCATTGTATAGCGAATATAGAATGTATTTATTTTTTAGTCACCGGTACTGCAAAATGGCAGACGGTCGCGTTTTAAATCAAAATATCGCCAACTTTAAAACACATTTATTTTCCTTTGTTGGTAATAGCCAGTACGCCGATTAGTTAAACCAGCACAACCCGGCCCTGCCAATTGGAAAAAAGTCCCTGAGCTCTGGCAACTACCAAGAGAACACCATGGAGACCCATTTTGAGCCCGGAACGTAAGTACCAAACCGGCCCATATCGCTAACCTTTAGCCGCTGCTGGATCCCCGACGACAAGGTGGGATGGCTGGGCGTGGAAGTCACGGCCGTCAACAAGAAGGATGGCAAGTTTGCTATTGATCTCGTGAGTGAAGACGGCGCAAAAAAAGTCACCATCGAGACAGATAATCTGAATGAAAACAATACACAACTCCCACTGCTGAGAAACCAGGTCGAGACCGTGGAGGACCTGACCGAGCTGTCACATCTGAACGAACCGTCTGTTCTTAATGCGATAAAGCTCAGGTATGCCCAGTTCAGCATCTATACATATTCTGGTATTGTGCTGATTGCAATCAACCCTTTCCAGCGCAACGACGAACTGTACTCGCCGCACAGAATCCAGCGATACGCGTCCAAAACGAGGGGTGAAGAGGAACCCCACCTGTTTGCCATTGCAGAGGACGCGTATCGTTGCATGAAAACGGATGGTCAGAACCAGTCGATCGTTGTCTCTGGAGAGTCGGGGGCGGGAAAAACCGTGTCTGCCAAATACATCATGCGGTATTTTGCGTCTGTCGACTCTGACCACAACAACCACGACATGTCGGACACAGAAAAGCAGATCTTGGCCACGAATCCCATCATGGAGGCCTTTGGTAATGCCAAGACTACAAGAAACGACAACTCGTCCAGATTCGGCAAGTATCTTGAGATCCTGTTTGACCAGAACGTTGTGATCATCGGCGCCAGCATCAGAACTTACCTGTTGGAGCGCTCGCGTTTGGTTTTCCAGCCGGCTACCGAGAGAAACTACCATATCTTCTACCAGATGGTGGAAGGTCTGGACGAGGCTTCCAAAAAAGAGTTTGGACTTTCATCTGTGGAAGACTTTTTCTACCTGAACCAGGGCAAAATGCCACGTATTGCTGGTGTAGATGATGCCCAAGAGTTCAAAGAGACTTGTGATTCGCTTGCTCTGGTTGGTATCACTCAGGAGAAAATGCACGAGTTGTTCAAGATTCTGTCTGCTCTGCTGCACATCGGAAACATTGAGATCACAAAGACGAGAAATGACGCAATTTTATCGCCAGATGAGCCGAACCTCGTGAAGGCCTGCGAGTTGCTTGGAATTGATGCTGCTGAGTTTGCGAAATGGATTGTAAGGAAACAGATCACCACGAGATCCGAGAAAATTGTGTCTAACTTGAATCACCAGCAGGCCACGGTGGCAAGAGACTCGGTCGCTAAATACATTTACTCGTCTCTTTTCGATTGGCTTGTCGACTACATCAACTCTGATCTTTGTCCTCCAGAACTCAAGAGCAAAGTGAAATCATTCATTGGTGTTTTGGATATTTATGGTTTCGAGCACTTTGACAAAAACTCTTTTGAACAGTTCTGTATCAACTATGCCAACGAAAAACTGCAACAGGAGTTCACTCAACACGTTTTCAAGCTCGAACAAGAAGAGTACGTCAAGGAGGAAATTGAGTGGTCATTCATCGAGTTTTCTGATAACCAGCCGTGTATTGATGTGATCGAGAATAGACTCGGTATATTGTCGTTACTGGACGAAGAATCGAGACTGCCTTCTGGAAGTGACCAGTCTTGGATTGAGAAAATGTATCAGTCGCTCACCAAGTCTCCCTATGACAAATCTTTCAAGAAGCCCAGGTTTGGAAATAACAAGTTTATTGTTAGCCACTATGCTCTGGACGTCACCTATGATTCCGAAGGCTTTATTGAGAAAAACAGAGATACTGTTTCCGAAGGGCAGCTGGAAGTTTTGAAAGCCACAAAGAACGCTTTACTGACAGAGGTTTTGGCAACAGTCGACAAACAAGCTGAAAGACTTGCTGCCGAGCAAGCTGCTGCTTCTTCTGCTGCTAAGCCTGGCAAGAAAGCTGTTAAAAAGCCAACTCTCGGTTCTATTTTCAAGTCGTCTTTGATTGAGCTTATGAACACAATCAACTCGACCAACGTTCACTACATCAGATGTATCAAGCCAAATGAGGAGAAAAAGGCGTGGGAATTTGACCCATTGATGGTTCTGTCTCAATTACGTGCCTGTGGTGTTTTGGAGACCATCAAGATCTCGTGCGCAGGATTCCCATCTAAGGCAACCTATCCAGATTTTGCCAGATACTATTCAATTCTTTTGCCGTCCAGTGAGAAGGAGAACTACTTGCGCGGTTCTGGTTCTGAACAGGAAGCCATCGAGCTTACCAAAAAGATCCTGAAAAATACCATTGATGATGAGCGCAAATATCAGACAGGAAAGACCAAGATATTTTTCAAAGCAGGTATTCTTGCTTTATTGGAGAAGTACAGATCAAACAAGATCAAGCAATCTGCTGTGACAATCCAGAAGCATTTGAAGGGCCACCACCAGCGCAAGGAATATTCCCAAGTGCGTAGATCGCTACTGCTGACACAGTCTCTTGCTAGAGGATTTTTGGCCCGACAACGAATCAGAAAGGAGATGGAGAACGATGCTTCTATCAAGATCCAATCTCTTATTAGAGGTTATTTTGTGCGGTCCAGATACAACTCTTCTAGAGCTTCGCTTGTGTCGTTACAGGCTATTTTGAAAGGCCATCTCTATAGAAGCAAGCTGAGAGAGTCGCTACAAAAAGATGCGGCTACCTTGATCCAATCTGCTCTCAGAGGAAGAGCAGCCAGAAACCACTACAAGAAAACACTATGGGCTGTGGTCTTTGCTCAAAGCTGCTTCCGTCGCCAAGTTGCTCGTAAGGAGTACTTGCACTTAAGAGCTGAGGCAAAGTCTGTTAACAAGCTCCAGGAAGTGCAGTACAGTCTTGAAAACAAGGTCATAGAGCTGACCCAGTCGTTGACTTCCAAGATCGACGACAACTCGAAATTAATGAGCGAGATCGAGATTCTCAGGTCGCAGGTTTCCGATTCTCAGAAACAGCACGCCGAGTTCAAGTCGAGAGAGCTAGAATTCAACCAAAAGTATGATTCTACAGTGTCGAAACACACAGAAAGCCTGAGTGCCTTGAATGCAGAGTTGGAGAAATACAAGCAGGATTACGAAGCGGCACGTCAGAAAGTCGATGAGCTTACGCAGCAGCAGGTACAGTTGAAGAAAGAGCTTGAAGAGAACGTTGAACAACTCAAGGCCGCTCAGAAAGCGCTTGATGATTCACAGAAAGAGAATGGTGATCTGAATAGCTCAATTTTGCAACTAAAACAAGAACTATTAGAGTTGCAGAACCAAATTTCCGTTGGTGCTCCTGCCCTTGGTAAATCACGTGCGATGGGTACGCCAGGCTCTCCAGGCTTAAACCACAAGAGTAACGGAAACTACGAACCTCGTCCTGCGTCGATCATGACCACGACCTCGAATAAGGACGATATGGATCTTGAAGCCATCAACAGCGAGCTGTGGTCTCTGCTGCGCAATTCTCAGGCCTTGCACAAAGAAACAGTCGATGGTCTGCTGAAAGGTGTTAGACTGCCGTCGGCCGCCGTGGCCTCTGAGCTGACCCGCAAAGAAGTTCTCTTCCCAGCACGGATCATCATCATTATTCTGAGCGATATGTGGCGGCTTGGTCTTACCTCTGAGAGTGAGGCGTTCCTGGGCGAAGTCCTGGGCGTGATACAGAGCATTGTGAGCGGATTGAAGGATGACGACGTGATCAAACATGGTGCCTTCTGGCTTACCAACACTCACGAGCTGTACTCGTTTGTGGCCTATGCGCAGTCCACCATTTTGGCTAACGACTCCATCAGCAAGGACATGAGCGACTCGGAGTATGACGAGTACTTGAAATTGGTTGCAGTTGTGAGAGAAGATTTCGAGTCATTGTCGTACAACATCTACAACATGTGGATGAAAAAGTTGCAGAAGGACCTTGAGAAGAAGTGCATTTCTGCTGTGGTTCTGGCCCAGGCTCTGCCTGGTTTCCTTGCTCCAGAGTCGTCGCCGTTTTTGAGCAAGATGTTCCAGAACAATCAGCAGTACAAGATGGATGACATTTTGACGTTCTTCAACAACGTGTACTGGGCGATGAAGGCCTATTTCATAGAGCCTCGTGTGATGAACGAGGTTCTGATAGAGCTGTTGAAGTTTGTGGACGCTGTCTGTTTCAACGACCTGATCATGAGACGGAACTTCCTGTCATGGAAGCGTGGTCTGCAGCTGAACTACAACGTGACGCGTCTGGAGGAGTGGTGCAACGGCCATCAAATTCCGGATGGCTCGACGTATCTGTCGCACCTGCTGCAGGTTTCCAAACTCCTGCAGCTGCGGAAGAACTCGCCGGAGGACATCGACATAATATTCGAAATCTGCCACTCGCTGAAGCCCGTGCAGGTGCAAAAGCTGATAGCGCAGTATGCTGTGGCCGACTACGAGGTTCCGATCGGTCCTGCTGTGACGACGTACTTGGCCGAGAAGGTGAAGAGCGACACGTCCGAGGGCGCTACCGATTTCTTCGAGCCGTTGAACCCGGAGGGCCGCTTCAACGACCCATTCAGAGACGTGGAGCTGCGTCCGTTCCACCGGGTCGAGGCGTACGTTCCTGCGTGGCTGAACATTCCTGTGATCAAGCGGATCATCGAGCTGGTGACGCGGAACGCCACTGCGCAGGAGGCTGCCACGGAGTAGATAGAAGTAACGTGTTAGAGGCGTGTTAAATAGTCTAATTACTGAAATGGATGGCGATAGGCACAATGATGACCACCAGGAGAATGACAATCACAAGAGCAAGACACAGCTTGAGCTTGAGGTTCTTTTTCCACATGTCTTTTCTGACCTGGTTTGCAGATCTGTTGAACAGTTTTGCGTTTGTGCTGAGGTCGTTTGCGCGGGTGTCGATATCCTCCAGCACCTCTCCCCTCTGGTTGATGGCCTCGATGTTGTTTCTCATGATTCCGGCCGTTTCCTGGAGCGTGTTCTGCAGATTGTGCAGGTTCTGATTCGACGGCTGTGTGTTCTGTTCCTTTTGCGCGTCGTCATTGAACGGGTTGTATGGGTCGTAAGCCTGGGCGCCGGACATATTTGAAGGCGAAGTAATGACAGATAACTATTTCCAAAATAATTTGGAGCCTCCGGTTTGCGGTGTGCTCCTAATTAAAGTCAACCTCATGGGCAGCGTTTTTCTTCCGCATCTGCGCACGGGCTGGCATGTCGACCAGGCGATCTTGTCCGAGGATGACCGGCTTGTGGTCATCCGTTTTGGACGCGACGCCGACCGCGAGTGCATGCTGATGGACGAGATGCTGTACAGCATCTCTGCCAAGGTGAGCCAGTTCGCAGTGGTGTATCTATGCGACATTGACGAGGTGCCGGACTTCAACGAGATGTACGAGCTGTACGATCCGATGACGGTGATGTTTTTCTACCGCAACAAGCACATGATGTGCGACTTTGGCACGGGAAACAACAACAAGCTCAACTTCATGGTTGGCGACAAGCAGGAGCTGATCGACATTATCGAAACGATATACAGGGGTGCTGTCAAGGGAAAGGGTCTCGTAGTTAGCCCGAAGGACTACAGCTACACGGGACGGGGCAGGATTTAGGGGCAGATGCAAAGCCCGCGTATGATTTATAGAAGAAGCCGAAATAAATATTTTTAACTATTATGGCCTCTCAGAACTATCCGTCGTCGGCAGACTTGCCGCTCGAAGAGTAAGTACTTGTCCGTTAGTCTAACGTCAGCATGACTCCTTTCGAGAAGATCATCTTCCGCTCTAAACAGCAGCCGCTTGTGCCGCTAGGGTGTTTGGGGACGTGCGTTGCTGTTGCGATGGCTGCAAAAGGCGTCCGTACAGGCAACGCCAGGAGCGCGCAGAAGTGGTTCAGATGGCGTGTGGGCCTGCAGGGCCTGACCATCGTGGCTTTACTCGCAGGGTCGTTCTACTTTGACAAGACTTTGAGGGAGGGCAAGACGGAGCAGGAGCTTGCTATCGAGAAAGCCCGTATGAGGGAGCGGCTCTGGATCGAGGAGCTCGAGCGCCGCGACGAAGAGATGAAGGAACGCCAGAGACGCGCAGAACTGGCCAGAAAGCGCAAGGAGGACGCTGAGGCCTCCAAGGGCGACTAGTGTAGGACATAGTTGTATTTGCGGACCTGTATATATTTTTTTCCTGATTTTCACCATGTTCCGACGATTAGTGTCCACTGCGTCGTCGACGTCGGTGTCGAACCTTGCCATCGCGACAAAACAGCAGTTGTACATGGTCGACGCCAGCTCGCCCGGGTCTGTGTTTTTCCTCCCGCACGGCACCAGGATATTTAACAAGCTTGTGCACTTCATGAAGATTCAGCAGGAAAAGCATGGCTTTACCGAGGTTATCTCGCCGCTCATGTACAAAAAAGATCTCTGGGAGACTTCGGGTCACTGGGAAAACTACGCAGACGACATGTTCCGCGTCGAAAGCAATTCTGGCTCCAACAAACTCGAAGCTGTGTACGGACTTAAGCCCATGAACTGTCCGGGCCACTGCGTGATATTCAGACGTTTTGCCCGCTCCCACCACGAACTGCCTATCAGGCTGTCTGACTGGTCCAGCCTCCACAGAAACGAGCCTAGCGGAGCGCTCACCGGCCTCACCAGAGTTAGACGGTTCCACCAGGACGATGGCCACATATTCTGCTCCAAGTCGCAGGTGGGCGCCGAGATCGGCAAGACGTTACAGCTCATCCGGCTGTGCTACTCCGTTTTTGGCTTTCAGAAGTACCGGATGATGCTTTCAACGAGACCGGAAACGCACATTGGCACGGTGGAGGAATGGGACGAGGCCGAGAGCGAGCTGCAAAAAGCCCTCGATACGCACGCTGGGCCGGAAAACTGGGATATCCGCGACAAGGACGGTGCTTTTTATGGTCCCAAAATCGACGTGCTTGTCACAGACCGCACAGGGAAGGAACACCAAGCTGCCACCGTGCAGCTGGACTTCCAGCTGCCGCAGCGGTTCCAACTTGAGTATCAGGGCGAGCGCGGGCCGGAAACGCCGATTATGGTGCACCGTGCCGTGTTCGGATCGGTGGAACGGTTTATGGCGCTGCTAATGGACGAGTATGAGGGCAAATGGCCGTTTTGGCTGTCTCCTCGCCAGGCGGTGATTATTCCTGTCAACGAGACACATTTGGAGTACTCCCGCAGGATCCAGGAAAAACTAGGCGGTCAGCAGGACCTGGATGTTGCTTCTTCTTTGCGAGACGTCAAGTACTATGTGGACGTCGACTTTCGGGCCGAAACCGTGGGTCTGCGGACAAAGGACGCCATTCAGAAGGGCTACAACTACATCATTTTGGTGGGCGATCGCGAGGTTCAGAGCGGAAAAGTCGCGGTGCGCTCGCGAGACAGCCGCAAGGTGCAAACCATGGACATAGACGAGCTCCAGGCGGTTTTTGCAGACCTGGAGAAATCTTATAAATAGCTAGCTATCTCTATTTTTGCATTTTCTTGGCGAGTTGCACCACCTCTTTCGATATGGCCGGAAGCGGCTCCTGGTCGAAGTTGATGCTTATTTGCGGAGTGCCGCTGTTGATGACGCTCGAATCAACCAGGTTCTGCGGGATGAAGTCGCCATGCTTCTGTAGAAACTCCATCCTCTTCTCGTGGTCTTTTTCCACAATGTTGCTGATGGTGCTCCTGAAATTGTCAATTGCCGACGAAATGTGCTCGTTTACGCGCATGCGACGGTCCAACTCCAGTATCAGCGAGTAGTAGGACCGCACAAACTGCTGGAAGTCGCTGTTGTACTGGACAAGCTCGTCCTGGTGTGTCTGTGCGATCTCCAGTTTCCGGCTCACTTCGGTGTTGATATCCGAAAACTCCTTGAGCTGCACCCTCAGCTTCGACTCGCCGTACTCCTGAAGCTCGCAAACATAAGTTTCCACGCGCTGGAAGTAATCCTCGAAAATATCCAGTATTTTCATCACCTCTTTGCAATTCTTCTTAATTATCTCTGCATTGCTGGTTAACGACCTTTGCGCCTCCGGAAGCTCCTCCACGTCGTTCTGAAGAACAGAGACCAGCTCGTCCTTTTCGTCCTGTGGAACTGCAGGGTCCTTGAGAATTGCCTCTCCCTTCTCACACTGGTCGTAATGGTTGTTGAAGCTGGTCAGAATAGCGACCATGTCGTGCTCCAGCTCGGCGTTGATCTCTAGAAGCTTCGAAATGGGGTCAATTGAGCTTGACTGAGTGTCCACCAGCCTCATGTCGCGAAACTTGCTATCCAGAGCATTCAGCTCGTTGCTGAGGTGGTCCAGATCAGAGGTGAGTCTAATGAGTAGCGCGTCGGTCCTATTCCCCTTGATGAGAGTCTGGATGTCCTTCAAATTCTGTGACACGCCGTTGAACAGCTCCTCCACACCAGACTCGCTAATATACTCGTACAGCGTTGTTTGGCCATCGAACACCACAACAGTGTTTTTGAGGGTGTCTATGGTCCGATGCAATCTATCCACGTCTTTGAGCAGCTGGCTTTGCAAAGCGGCCCTTTTCTCCATCACTCTGTTCAGATTCAACACCAGCGAGTCTCGGATGATCTCCAACAGCCGCAGCTGTTGTTTTAGAGCATCCAGATAGTATATCAGCTTGGGTACTTTCATTTCCCGTCGCCGCAGTTTCTCGCTCGTAGACGTCAAATACATGTTTGCGTCATTGCAGACCTGTTCGGCATGCGCCAAATTGGCACGAGCGTCGGCTACCCATTGCGCAATGGGAATAGCCATTTGAAAAGTGAGATATCAAATGAATTTAATATATTGAATATATTATTTTTCTAAGACAAAAAAAAAAAGGCGAATTTCCTCTACTCGCTGTCAGTTCCCCACTCTCTGTAAGTGGTTTCCTCCAAGGTTCCGAAGACGTCACCTAGATAGTTGTCTGGAGCATAGACAGTGCCGTTTTTGTAGGTATCCCAATCAGAAATGACGTCCTCGATGAAAGGCTTTCCTGCAACCACCAAGTTCTGAACTGCTACCTTACTGCCACCCTGAGACACCTCGGTGAAGAAGTAGGTGGTCTCGTTGTCGTAGTAGTTTGCGTAGGTAAAGTCCGAGGCAGATCTCATGATGACAATGCGGCTGAAATCGACCAGGCCGTACTGAGCAGCTCTCATAAGAGCCTCCAGCGTGGCATTGTCCTCCTGCTGCGTGGTGCAGTAGGTGGCAGTTCCGTTGGTGATAAGGTCGGTGTAATTGCTGAAGGCTTCGTCGAAGTCTGATCCAAACCAGTAGGTATCAGAAGTCAGGGTATCACAAGCGATAGCTTTAGGAGTTCTGTTGGCTGGTGCGTAGTCGTAAAGAGCTCTGAACTCAGAGTTTCCGGTGGTTCCATTGAACAGAGCCGTTTTCTGGGCCAGTTCCAAAGCACGGTCTCTCAGGGCCTCATTGACCTCAAAGATCTCGGTTCCGTACCACTCGGTTGGGTATTGTGTGGAGTTGGTGGTGCCGTACGAGAAATAGCCGGTGCTCCAGTTGGACGGCATCTGACGAGCATCGACTTCGTACTCCAAGATCTGGACCGCAAACCGAGCAAAAGTCACGTCTCCCAGTGTTCCCTGTAATGGAGAGATTCCAGCAATGCCGGCGATCAAGAAGTAAGTCTCTGCCAGGTCAAACAGCGGATTCAGAGCCAGGGCTGTCATGGTGGAGGCCGCATTAATTTCACCCTCACCGGTGATGACCTCACAGATAGAATAATTGTGGTTGCAGTGGACTTCCGGGTAGATCGGCGACAACCCAGGAATTGTCACGTTGTGCACAAGGTCGAACTCTTCCAGGAAAGGTTCGGCCTCATAGTCAAACATGTTGACAATCAAGACCTTTGGCTGATACGTCTCCAGCTCGTCGTAGACGGTCTCATTGAGGCCCGCGGTTTTGACGGGATAGAAAGATGAAGTGGAGGCTGTGGAGTAGGCGCAGCTCACTCCAGCAAAAGCGAAGGACAACAGAGCAGTGAACTTCATACGAGAGAATTGAAATACTTGGGTTGTTGGGTGTTGCTACTTGCAAGACTTTTAAATAGTTTCGGGAGCTGCAGCATTTGTGCCTAACTCAGTAATGCGAACCAATCCGTGTACTCCGTTGCTCGTGCGAGAAATTTGTTTACCGATTGACTTGTCTGATTGCTGCTATATCAAAAATAACAATAGCCAAAACGCGGCACCATGCGCACTATTTACCATTATCTCTCTGAATTTAGAAACTCGACCAAATTGGATACCGATTTTTCTTAATCAAGTATCCATGCCCAAATCGCTTTTTCGTGCGACAACCCTACACACGAAAATTTTTTACCGTTTGTCTCGGCCTGGAGAATGAGTTAAAAAAAAACAAAGTCGACATTCTCGCAAACAAGAGCCCTAATATTTAAATCTCGAGCACCAACTTGTCCCAAACGTTTCCAAGTTTCTACAACAGCAATCACCAGTTTTACGTCGTCGCTCATCCCGGCTTTTGGTACCTCTGTTAGTTGTTCAAAGGTGCCCGTTATTATCTGCAATGTCCGCCACAGTTGAATCGTCAAGAAAACCTTCGATGGCTGAGAGACGTCCATCGATGGCCGAGCGCAGGCCATCGGTGCAAACAGGAAGACGGCCGTCTGTGATCCCACATCTAGCGGGGATCGAGGATCCCGTGCTCCCAACAATCCCGGATCAGTGCGACGTGCTGATTTGCGGAACAGGGCTCGTCGAGTCTATTTTGGCCGCAGCGCTTGCCTGGCAGGGGTCCAACGTCCTGCATGTCGACTCCAACCCTTATTATGGCGATACCTCGTCCACCCTCACGATCGAGCAGATCAAGGCCTGGTGTGCAAATGTCAACCTCAACACTCCGGGCTTCCAGGGTTTCTCCAAAGCGCTCCTCTACATTCCGCGTCCCGATCAACTGAACAGCAGAGACTACAGCATTGACTTGACTCCACGGATCATGTTTGTCAAGTCCGATCTTCTTTCTTTGCTCATCAAGTCTAGAGTGTACAGATACCTCGAGTTCCAGTCCATCAGCAACTTCCATACTTTCGAGAATGATTCTTTTGGAAAGATGTCTTCTTCAAAGGAGGAGATCTTTACAGACCAGTCGCTGTCACTGGCAACCAAGAGACAACTGATGAAATTTATGAAGTTTGTCTTGGAGTCAGAGAGCGCCCATATTGCCAAGGAACTGGAACACTATAAATCAACACCATTCACCGATTTCATCAAGGAAAAATACAAGTTGGCACCTGCGCAGATTAACGAACTATGTTATACACTAGGGTTGTCTCCTACACCTAATATTCTCACTATAGAAGGTATCTCCAGAATTCGGAGGTATCTGTCGTCGTTTGACGTGTACGGCACCTTCCCCGTGCTGTACTCCAAGTTCGGAGGACCCGGAGAACTTTCCCAAGGATTCTGTCGATCTGCTGCTGTGGCAGGTGCAACTTACAAGCTGGACTCGCAATTGCAATCCTATGACAGCAAAGACAAGATTGCCACGTTTACGGATGGCAACAAAGTGAAAGTTACCGAACGGCTGGTTTGCTCTCCATCGCAAGCTCCTGATAATGCACAGAACGTTCCCGAAAAGAAGTATGAGGTGACCAGACTGATCACCATTGTCAAGAAATCATGCAAGGAGTGGTTTTTTGAGGGAGAGTCTGCTGCTGTGGTGGTTTTCCCTCCAAAAACGCTTCCTTCCAATAACGTGTATCCGGTGCAGGTTATAATCATGGGTTCGGGGTCCGGCTGTTGTCCTCAGGGTCAGTGCATATGGTATTTGTCGACTGTCGAGAATGGCGAAAAAGCCAGACGCGACTTGGAAGAAGGGTTAAGCAAGTTAGAGGAAAGCATATTGCGAGAATCGGAAGACAGTGGATTTGATGTGGAGCTGACTGACGAAGACGTGGTCTCCAGACCAGACGGAAGCATCTCGGTCATTAATTCTGTCAAACTGGGTAAATCTTTCAAGGAGTTCGTTCCGCAAGAAAAACTGACGTATTTGTTCAAGCTGATGTTCACTCAATACACTTCTGTGGAGCCATTTGGGGTGGTGAACGAGAATGTTTTCAAAAAGGCCTTGAAAGAAGGCACAGAGAACAGTGTCGATTACCAGATTCTTTACTCGAATATGCCTTCTGCCGAAATCTCATACGACGGAATAGTCACCGAAGCCAAGTTGTTATACAGCACCATTGTTGGTTCCGACGACGACTTCTTCGATGTGGACTTTGAGGACGACGAGGAAGACACCCTAGCAGCCGCGCGAAACGACTCTGCGATAGTGGACGACGACGACGAATTCAAAGACGAGATGGATTTCGAACTATAGGTCACCGGATGACCACTCCTGTGTATTAGGAACTTTTAATGTAATGTGCAGCCGATATAATTAATTAGTACATCATCATATTTACTGCTGAGAGAAGTACTCCAAAAGAACATTTCTCTCCTCAGAGTCGGCACCCCAGTTCTTGATGACAACACAAGAAGCACCAACAACCTTTCTGGCGTTTCCGTCTCTGTCCAAAGCACAGAGACCTGCCCACTCACCGAGCTGCTTGGCGTCGGAGACCTTGATCAAAGGAATCTTCTCCTCTGGTTCATTGCACAAAGCCTCAACCAAAGAAATAATCTTGGCCTCAGTGACGGAGTCACACAAGACACACAGTTGAGCCTCACCTCTAGCCAAAGCCTTAATGGCCTCTCTGAGACCTCTGGCAAGACCATCGTGAACCAAAGCGGTTCTCAGGACCTTTTGCAAGCAATCCTCGATGGACACGGAAGAGGATTCTTCAACAACAACTTCTTCTTCGATTTGGACTTGTTCTTCGACGTCAGACATTATAATAACTTCTTCCTCAGATGAGATCTGGTCAGTTTACAGAGAGAAAATGTTTTTCAAAAATTAGCAAAAAATTGAGCGAAAAATTATACACGTGACTTATGGTTGGGTTTGCCAGACCTCTAGATAAATAGCGGTATCTCGACTGCTCCACCAACTGTCTGTAGTCTGTCTGCTTTGTCTGGCTTGTTGTTCTTGCGGCCCTCGAGCTTTCGTTTTTTTGTCTGTTTTCCTTTGTTTTCCCTTGAAACTGGTTCTGGCGCAGGACTGTGCCCCAGCACCGACTGAGCCAGTTCTTTGGTGATTTGTAAATCCACCAGCTCTCCGGCGGAGCTTGGGGCCGCTGACTGAGTGATGGCGGACTGGAAGTAGTCGTCGATGGTAGTGAGCTGGCCATTGCGAGCGATTTTAATCACTTTGACGTTTTCGTCCTCTAGTATCATTTGCTCCACGAATCGATTATTGTAGCCGTGATTTGCGCGCTCGTATTCGGCATCTTCGTTTGCAAGGGACTCTAGCGTGATGAATTCAATGCTTGTTCCGAAAAAAAGGTTCTTGCCGTCGCTAGATGATAAGCTAGACCCATTTAAGGTGGACGAGCCTAACAAAAGCGACACAGAGGTAAGACCAGCGAGATCTTTGCGGACTTTGATCGATTTTGACAACTTTATTGCTCTCAGGATTTTGGCAAAGTAGCTGAAGTTATAGAAGGAAGAGATGGACGTGGAACACAGGACCATCTGAGTCTGTTCCTCATTGACGAGCTCAGGCTTGTATAATTGCATGTCTTTCAAAAACGGCTTTCGAGAAGGAAACACAAGCTTGGAGTATCCGATCGATGCATCCTCAGACTTGGAGATCAGGACAAGTTTTCTTTGGTGTTCCGACCGCATGTTCGAGCAGTAAAGAATCAGTTCTTCGGTACTTAGATCCTTCATGTCTTTGAGTGCGTCGTAGAGTAGAGACGACTGTAGGGTGAGCTCCATAACCGTTTTGGACGTGTCGAGCTGGAAATAGGTAGATCCCGATTGAGAGTCTGTAATTTCAGACTCAAAATCGGCCGGATCGATAAATAGCGTGGTCAGCTCGCAGCGCTCAATGATGAAGTCGTCCTCGAAGGTGAGTATAAATGGAGAACCGTCACCCTTGTAGCTCAAAATACATTTTGTACGCAGTTCTGGATTATCCTTGTCACCCGGTATATGAATATTGATTGTCTCTATCAGGGACTTGAGATCAAGATGGACGGAAACGCTCTGTCTCGAGTCTAGAGACTCGGAATCATCGTCGGTGGTACTTTCTTCTTCGTCTGAGACTAAAATGCGCTCTTTCTTGACATGGATCGGATAGAATTGGAAACTGCTGAAGAGTCGTTTGTCTAATGTGAGATACACTTTGCAGATATTGTTGTCAACAACACTGAAACAGAGCCCATTTTGCGTGATGTTCAACAAACAGCTACCTCCAAAAGGCAATATCGACGAGATCAACTGGTATATGGGCACGATATTGCTTGTTGAAGCAGTAAACTGGATTTGTTCAAGGGGCATATAAGAAGTAAAAAAAAACGCGTGGGTATAAATTTATCTCAAATTAAATATATCTAGACTATTAACTCTGGCCAGAGAACGAAGTAGAAAAAATTCAGCACTTAGGTAGCAACTCACAGAATTGTCCTTAATGAGCGAGCTCATTCGATAGAGCAGCCTTGGGGCTCTTAGCTGATGGAACAGGTGAAGTGCCAGGCAGCATTGTTGTAGGCAAAAAATCCGTAATCAGCGTCGTCATCCTGTTCTTGTCTCTGAGCAGTGTTCATGGAAGCTTGCATTTTGAAGTTGTTGTTGAATGGTGATGATCATTGGGAGGCAGATCACCTGTATTTATAGGCTCCTCGGGAAACCCACAGGATGGACTTGAGTCGAGTGTTTACCTTTGGCAGTTTGAGATTCCACGTACCTGTCGTCTCCAGCTAGTTGAAAGGGGCTGTTGGAGCGGCTAGGTGACCATTGAGGTTCCAAAATGGGTAATTAATACATGGCAATTAAAACGTTATCTGGAAAATTGCCTTTAGGTGAATACACGCATAATCCGGGGGCCTATATTAAAAAGCCCAAAACAGAAATTTATATTCGGTTCAAAACAAGAATCTGAAATTTTGCTAGAGTTGCGACTCCTATTGGACGCTACGCTGGTATTGATTGCTCCTGGCAGGATGCCACTCTACCAAATAAGGAAGCAGCTGCTTAATACGTGCCCTGAAATCTAAAATTGCCATTAATCGCATATGTGTGTGTCGTAATAGTATATATATTAATATTAAGGTCGGAGTGCATTGTAGTAAGCATTGGTCTTAGTGTCCGTGCAAACATGCAAACATGCCTTGTATGTTACAATGCAAAACCCTAGGATGAAAAAGCTCCCAGGCTCCATTTATCATTATTGTTTCTCGTCATATTATTAAGCAAGGCGCCCACAGTTCAGTTCTTGATAGAGGCGACTTGCAACGCCTGCTCTAGTCCCTCGAGACTAATTAGTTTTTGGGCTAGCGCAGCACAACTGTAGAATAGCGCACCGAGTCCATAAGAAAAAATGAAGGACAAAAACAAGATGGTAACAAAGGTGAATGCAGCCTCAGTAGAGGTCATGACATAAAAAGGGAGACTATAATACACCAAGCCATGGATTCTTTCGAAGTAGTGGGAGACTTTGAAGCTAAGGGATTTTTCCATGGTGGTGAGACTAGCGGCGATGTAGGATTTTCAACGAGGGGTGAATAAAAATATGGTAACCTTTTTTTATTTGGTTGGAATCGGATGGCTCGGGAAGGAAGGCAGAAATATAGCTTCCAGAATACTATGGAAAAAAATAAAACAATCATTTTTACGTCATCTGTGCATTGGACAGAGCCCAATCATTATTTGGCCTGAAAAATATCTATTGTGCAATGTTTACTATCGTCTGCAACGTTTGTTGTTGTTCGTTTGTTAGGCTTGCTACCATTTTTGTGTATTTTTCTGAATCGCTTTGCACTTGCGCGAAGCTCTCTTTGAATGCTCGGAACACATTGACGTTGTCTAGCACCGTGTTCGAAAACGGATCCTCCTCGTACTCGTCGTCCGCATGCAGCAGATCTGGGTCGCCGCCCATATTCTGCAGAACGTAGTCGGCAATGTCTTCGTCGTCCACATCCTCTGCTTCGTCGCTGAAAACAGGCTGTGCAAACTCGTGTTCGCCGAGTTGTTCTTCGGAGTTGAAGTCGGCACGTTTTTTCTGCAAATCATTGATGGCAGCCGGCAGTTTGGCAAAGTGATCCGCTAGAGTGCTTCCTATAGCAGAAACTAGTTCTTCGAGCTGCAGCTGCTTCAAAGCCTCGTAATCCACGCTTAATAGAGAAAGAAGCCCCAACACACTTAGCTTTAGATCGAACACGCGTTTCATCGAGGGAGCCAGCTTGAACCAGGTCATCATAAAAGACTCCAGGGCATGGCATTCCATCAAAACTTGTAAACAGGCCTTTGGATGCACCACGAGCACTGCAACCAGCACTCCCAGCACTGTAATTTTCAGACTGTCTGAGGAATGTGCAGTATCTTTGAGCGATAACACTCCGAGAGTAGATCGCACCAGTTGCGGACTATAAGACTCAATAGAGGCCTTGTCGAGCGTAAGTGCAAAAGTGGCCCCGAGATCGGCAGCAGAATAGATCTCATTGGCGTCTGGCTCCTCTGAGGCCAGTATCTGGAAGATAATTTGAGCCATAGCGTCCTGATACTGCTTGTTTTCTCTGAACACAGCACCGCCGTAAACCAGGTAGTTCTTCAGAGCTGGAGTGATGTCGTCTAAAAACATCCCCAAGTCGTTCTTCAACACCGCAGTGACCATGCTTTCAAACAGAGACCACATGGTTGGAGAAACTGCGCGGGTCAGGAATAAAGTGTTTTCAATGAGTTCTGAGGCCTCAGCATAGAAATCGTCCAGCTCTTTTTCGAACGTGTACTGGATAATTGGAGCGTAGCTCTGCTCCAAGCCGGCGATCATGTCTTGAGAGCTTTCAAAATAAAGAAGAACAGTCACCATTGTATTGAAGACTCCCAAAGCTGCCATGTGTTTGTCTGTGAGGTCATCGTGGTCCAAATTGTCCGGGCCGCTGTTAGATAGATCGTTGATTTCTGTGAGAAGACGAAGCAGCTGCTCGCTCAACCTGGCCATCAAATTAGCACCGAATGGCTGCAGCTGAGCAGAGTAGCACTCGACACACTCCTGGATGACAGCAGAAATGGCATCGATGTCCACCTTGTTAGACAACTCCAGCAGTTTTTCCATAGTTTCCACTATGATAGAACCAAGAGCTTCCTTAAACTGTTCGAACGAGATGAACGCTTGAATAGCCAAGGCTGCCTCCAGCTGGACAGGCAAATTGTTGTCCTCTTTGAAACACGAAAGGACACCATTGAACAAAACAGTGAGGTTGTTCTGGTCCTGGAATTTGAGATTATCAAACTTGGCAGACACATCGCACGCACGTGCCCTCAAAAATGCAAAGGGCGACTGGAAATTTGGCAGCACAAAGCTGGCCACAAACGGCTCCACCTGGTCTGCCAGCGATTTTGTTGCCATCAGTTTGCTCGAGATTTGGCCCACTATACGCAGCGCAGACTCTTTCTGTTTGGCAATCTCCAGAGTCTCTGGCACATTGGCAAAGGAGGCGAGTTTCTCGTAAGCAAACTGTAGAATAGGATCCAGAGCAACCTTGGATCTTTTTTCGACAAGAGTGTAGATCAGAGACAAAACAGCCATTTGTGGAGAGCTGGTTTCTTCGTACATGTCCAAGATCATATGGATGTACTCGTTGGGATCATTCTCAAACATGTCGAGGACTTCGTCTGTTGGACAGAGTAGCGGGAATGCCACCTCTGAGACGATCTCCCTGATGTGGGGCTCCAGAAGCGGGAAACAACCCTTTTGTACCACGCACTGTTCCAAGAACGAAATGATCTGATAAAGCGAGGCATCGCTCAGCCACACTTTTTGATGTCTCCATTCCTGGAGTCGTTTAAAGTACACTTCTAGAAGGCCGGGAACAACATTGTTAGCAAACATGTCTCTAAACTGTGTGTATTCGTATCTGCTGGACAAACTTTTAGATGCATACCGTTGAAACAGCCTGTACAGGTTAGCATATGCCCATTTTTGGCTTTTGACCCATGGACTCAATGAACGATCGTCTTCATCCAGCTCCAAGACTGTGGGAGGCAAAGTCATGTTGATTACATCCACATGGAAGGTGATCCACTCAAGAGAGACGTCCTGCTGCTGAAGACGTTCTGGTAAATCATGATAGGTCACAAACTTGAAACACTTAATGATCAGTTTCACAATCTCGCCTGCTTCATAGTGGTTTTCATACGCTGCAGGGTTTGCAACAAACTGCTTTCCAATTTGCAACAGACTTGGGAAGTTGTCTCTTATCACAGGGTCTAGTTCCAAATGACGGTGACCATTTGTCCTCCATCTATAGTTTCTAGTCAGCTCAGAGAAACAGAGCACCCCTGTATACATGGCTTGAATATCGGAGGTGTTGAGAAAGAGAGATTTAGTGGTGTCTAGGAAAGTTGGCCAATTTTGCGGGTAGTCGTACGAGATCATGACACTCAAGACTGGAATCAACTGGTTTCGTAGCGTCCTTTCCAATTTGAGGATCGTGGGGATAATCCGGTCTCTGATACCTGGCTTTTCTCCCTCATCAATTTCTCCCTCAGAACTCGACCAGCTCCTGATCATTTTATTTTTGAAGTAGATGGAACATGCTTGTTTGACAACGGGTTCGACGTCGACTGAGCCCAGAATGTCTAAGCATGCCCCTAAGAACCCGACAATCGACTCCGCCTGCTTCAGCTGTTCCTCAGCCTGTTTTCTGACGCTCTGATCGGCCTGTAAGGTCCCCAGGAAGCAATTGTGAAGGGCCTCGACGTTCATTTACAAGGAGGAAATTTTATTTAAAAAAAAAATTCCAAAAAAACTTTAGATATTTTCATCATGGCTCCAGCTACTATTCTTTGCGTTGGCATGGCTGGATCAGGCAAAACGACCTTTGTGCAGCGGCTGAATTCGCATCTCCATGCAAAGAAACAGGCTCCATATGTGATCAATCTGGATCCGGCTGTTCTCAAGGTTCCATTTGGATGCAACATCGACATCAGAGACTCTGTGAAATACAAGAAGGTGATGGAAAATTACAACCTGGGCCCCAACGGCGCTATTGTGACATCCTTAAACTTGTTTTCCACCAAGATCGACCAGGTCATCTCTCTGGTTGAGAAGAAGTCCGACAGATTCAAACACTGCATTGTCGACACTCCAGGGCAAATCGAATGTTTCATATGGTCTGCGTCAGGGGCCATCATCACAGAAGCCTTTGCGTCGACCTTCCCAACAATAATTGCATACATCATTGACACGCCGAGAAGCTCGTCGCCTACGACGTTCATTTCCAACATGCTGTATGCTTGTTCTATTCTGTACAAGACCAAGCTTCCGATGATTGTGGTGTTCAACAAGACGGATGTGAGAGACTCCAAGTTTGTGACCGAATGGATGACCGATTTTGAGGCCTTCCAAGATGCTCTCAGAAGCAACAGCGAGCTGAACGACGAGACCAGCAACGGCTCGGGATACATGGCCTCTCTGGTGAATAGCATGAGTCTGATGCTGGAGGAATTCTACTCCACCCTGGATGTGGTTGGGTGCTCTGCTTACACGGGGGCGGGGTTTGATGAGTTTTTGGATGCTGTGGATGCCAAGGTCGACGAATACAATAACTTCTATCAGAAAGAGAGAGAGAGGATTATAAAAGAAAAGGAAGAGAAGGAAAAACAAAATAAGCAGAAGCAACTCACACACCTTATGAAAGACCTCGGCCTGGGGAAAAAAGAGCCAGTTGACACCATTTCGGATGCCGAAGACGACGGAGAAGAAGAATACGAGCACGGGCTTGTTGAGCCAGACATAAATGAACCACAACGCGAGTACACTTTTGCCGAGGACAGAAACGGCGAGGTGACAGAGGAAAACAAGAACGTGCACGAGGTATACCAGAGAGCGTTCGAGCAAGGATCAAAGACCGCCAAGAGCGACGTTGCAGACAATATTGCCAAATATATCAGACATCAGCATTAATCGATATGTACAATGAAAATAGTTGTTTATGCTAATCTGTGCCTTTGGTCAGCACAATCCATCCGTCGGGCAAATTAACCACTTTTGTGAGACCGAGAGTTGCCAATTGGTAAAAATTCTTTTTAGTGTTGTCATCTGGCTGATTCAGCTGGGTCAGCTCCGGGTACTGCGGTCTATTCAGCGTGCAACACACCACAGAAAACGAGTCCTTGAACTTGTCAGTAAACAGTTGTAACGGGTTTGTAGTTTCTTTGAATCCAACGTGGGTCAGCCCAACAAGGGCAACGTTGTCAAGCTCAGAGAGCTCAGAGACGGGCTGCAGCTTCTGCAGTAACAACTGAATCTTGCGAGTAAAGAAATAGTCTGCGGCCAGTGTAAAATCGTTTGGGTCCGTGACTGAATGGTCTAGATGCGCATTTTGCAGAATATTGATCGCCTCCAGCGAATCAGCCAAAGCTTTGTAGGTGAGCGATACTGCAGGTGTCTCGTTTTTCAGCACCAATACTGCAGCAAAACGCTCCAGCTCACCCCAAAATTGCTGATACTGGTTCTGCCGTGGCAAAGAGGGCAATTTGCGCTCTTTTTGCAGCACTCTCAGCCTGTCGATAACGCGATCTTCTTGTTTATTGTACACATATCTGGATGAATGTGTCTTTAGCTGTTGACTTTTCAGCAAGTCTGCCTGCAACCGTGGATCCTCAGGAATCTCTGGCATCTCTGTGTTTCCGTGAACGTGAGCGTACCCGGATTTCCGCGCTTCCTCGATCTTGAGGTTGGCTGCCCTTTGATACTCGTGCTCCGACTGTTGCGACTCCTGAATGGCTTTCAAAAGTCTATTTCCTCTCTCAGTCGCTTCCTTAATTGCATCTTGGTCAAACTTCTCAATCTTAGAAGAGATGCGAACAACCGGAGCAGCGTAGTGCCGCACTAGCTGCCTAATCATAAAATTGAAAATATTTAATCTAATTATTTTTATTTTTTTTGTCGACTGTCGACTGAAAAACCTATCTCCGACGCTCACCGGCTGATAACCTCTTTATCTATATCTATAAATACTGAGAATAAAGAACGTGTAATTTTATGGCTCCTTCAATTGGCTATTTGCTTTCAATCCAATCCGTGCGAGAGACCAACTCTTGCACCAAGACTCTTTTGCTGGAGAACCAGCTTGTGAATTTCGACGTGGATTTATCCAAACTTCCGGATGCAGTGGATTTCGTGATATCTACAATCAGAGAATCGTTCCCTACGGACGAGTCGCTCCTGACTATTCCGGTTCATGGTAGGTATCAGCACTTTGAATGTGGAGGAATAAAGCGACTCACAGAGTTTATTCACAACCAGCTGAGAGGCCAAAATGACTACGAAATATGCAAAAAGCTAATTGATCTGTTCGTTGTCAGTGTTCTTCTTGATGCTGGTGCTGGCAACCAGTGGAAATACAATGAGGACGGCATTTTGAATGGCAGGTCTGAGGGAATTGCCGTTGCCACGTTGCATATGTTTATCGACGGAGTGTTCAGTGACGGCGACAGTTATGTTGTGAACGGGTCGAAACTAGCCTGCTTAACCGCAGAAGAGCTCTCAAAAGGCCTCCAGGTGTCGGAGGCCAATCCGATTGCAGGGTTTGAAGGAAGACTGAAGCTTCTTAACCAACTGGGGAAAACTCTGATGCAAAATCGCACGATATTTGGAGCTGACGCCAGACCAGGAAACTTAGTGGACTATCTGAAGGAATTGTCGAAGGACGGTTCCATCGACCTCCCTGACTTGTGGGACTGTTTGATGGAAGGTCTCATGCCAATATGGCCAACGGAGGGACGCATCAAGCTGGACGGAAAATGCATTGGAGACGCGTGGTATCTTGAAAATAAAATCAAGGAAGCAGAGAAAGAATACGGTTCAAATGCTCCAGAGTCAGCAAAAATAGTCACTTTCCACAAACTTACTCAATGGCTGACATACTCGCTGTTTCTCCCGTTGGAGAAATATGGACATTTCTCCATTAAAAATACTCATTACATGACAGGTCTCCCTGAATACCGTAATGGAGGACTATTTGTTGACTTTGGAGTTCTGAATATCAAGAGAGAGAAACTAAAACAAGGAATCGAGTTTGCTATCGAAAAGAAATTGGATCCAAACATTCCTCTATATACACCAGATGACGATTTGATTGTTGAATGGCGATCATGCACCGTCTGCCTACTAGACTATATTCTTCCGCTGGTGAACGAGAAACTAGGAGTTGTAGGCTCTAAATATGAGCTGTCTCTTCCGCAGCTTATTGAGGCCGGGTCATGGAAATCCGGTAGACTTATTGCCTCAAAGCTGCGAAGCAACGGAGGGCCACCGATAGAGTTGTTTGCCGATGGCACTGTGTTTTAGATGGCTACCATTTTATAGATATCTTAAACCACGTGACTGTCATGTGACAGAAGAGAAAAAATTCCCCTGCCCTCGAGCACCTTTAAAAATTATTTTTTTTCACCATATTTTCAACTTTGAACGTCTCATACCATCATGTCTGAAGAAAAGAAGATCATTGAAGAGCCAGAAATCCACAAGATCAGAATCACCTTGATCTCCACGAAGGTCAAGCAACTTGAGAAGGTGTCTCAAAACATCATCCAAAACGCTGAGAGAGAGAACCTTTTCAAAAAGGGTCCAGTTAGAATGCCAACTAAGACCTTGAGAATCTCTACCAGAAAGACTCCAAACGGTGAGGGTTCCAAGACCTGGGAGACTTACGAGATGAGAATCCACAAGAGATACATTGACTTGCACGCTCCAGCTCAATCTGTCAAGAAGATTACCCAAATCACCATTGAGCCAGGTGTCGACGTCGAGGTCACCATTGCTGCTTAAGTACGTTGAGTGTTTGTGGCAATACTCTAGGCGTACCGTGTAGAAATACCAAGTTCAACTTGTTATATGATGCATGAGACGTTACGGTGTTAGCTATCAGTTCCTTGCACATACATTTATATGTAGCTTAAGGTAATGGATAATTTGAAAAAATTAGTAAACCTTTACACCGGCATGGTAAATTTATGCGATCAAAAACAACGATTATTAACTTCCTTTTCGGAAAAAGGTAAATATTCAACTAAAATCAATTTGAGTCCACTATCTTCTTCTCATGGATCACTTGTATTCGCGTAACTTCTGGTCTCCCGACGATTCTGCCTGCTCGTTTCTGCTAGGACACTTCGATGGAGGCTCCAAGACTGCAGACGCTGTGCTTGCCTTCTACAAAGAACGAATGGCGATAGAGCAAGAGTATGCCAAACGTTTGTGCACACTTTCCCGGAAAATTGACCTTGGCAAGCACGAACTAACAGGCAGTCTGAAAAGCAGTCTTGATGTTCTTGCACAGGAAACACAACAACTTGGCAACAGTCATTATTCTCAGGCAAACAAGCTTGCAACCGATGTGTATAATCCTCTGACTGAATATGCAGCAGAGCGCAAAAACAAAGGCAAAATACTCGATTCTGGACTGTCCAAACTGATGAAACACAAAAGAAACCTTGAATCCAAGGTGGAACTTGCTCGAAAGAAGTATGAAGCTCACTGGGTGAAGGTCAATAATTATAAAACACAGCAGATTCTTATGGATGAGACAGAAGCTTATAGGACACAAATGAAGGTGAACAAACTCATGGATCAGATGAGTGAGGCACGTGACGACTACCGTGGCCTTGTTAATGAGTACAACAATATGCTGAATGTGTGGAAAAACGAGTGGTTCTCTGCTTGTGAAAACCTGCAGTCTATGGAGGAGGAGAAAATCAAGTTCTTGAAGGCCAACATTTGGGAATATGCAAACATTGTGAGCTCCACGTGTATTTCAGACGATCAAAGCTGTGAAAATATCCGTCTGAGTCTCGAGAAATGCTCGTATCGAGCTGACATTACATCCTTTGTTGAGGAGTTCAAAACTGGCAATACCATGTCTTCACCTGTGAACTTCATCGACTATGCCCGCGGAGACGTTCCCCAAAGAAAAGGCGGCATCCAGACGGTCGATCTCACCAGCATTCCTAAAATCACACAACAGCGCGAACAATTGGGACGCAAAAAGATTACACCTCCAAAGCCAACCCAAGAGCAGCAGATGCAGTTTGATCTGATTGATAGACGCGAGGAGACATTCAAGCAGCTACAGGAACAGGCCCAGCTCGAGGCCTCCCAACTGCGGAGCACAGGAGCACAGACTACTTCTGAACCAAGCTCTAACCTCGTTTTCTCGGAATACTCTGACGGAACGGAAGCCTCGAGCTCCCACGAAGACGACTTCAAACAGTCGAAGCAAGAGTCCACATACTCGAATCCTCTGCTGCATTCTCTGGTATCTGACAAACCAACTGAGTCTAGCCGGCTGAAGAAGTTCAATATTTTTGGCAAGACTGAGCAGCCAGTGAACCCATTAGAAGCCTATTTGAGCGACCTTCAATTAGGTGGAAATGGCGACATGTCGAAATTCCGTGACTCGATGCAGATCAGTGATGAATCGAAACAGGAAAATAACGAGATTCGAGCACCGTCTTTCACCTTCAGCAGGAACAACTCCGTCAGAAAATCAAAATCGTCCACCACCTTGAAAGGAAAGTTTGTGAACCACGCAAACCTGCCATCGCGCTCGTCCGAAGGCTTCCCCGTTCTCAAATACTGCAGAGCTCAGTACTCATACAATGCCAGCATCGAGCAGGAACTGTCCTTCAAAAAGCGTGATATTCTAATGATCCTGCACCAGCAGCCTGACGGATGGTGGTTTGCGGAAAACATCAACACAGGAAAGTCGGGCCTTGCGCCTAGCAACTATCTCGTTGATATGTAATCTAGACTATGCCACTGACTTTTCTTGCGTAAAGATATGCTGTGACTGCAAAAACAAACATGCTTCCACAGATGCTGTAAAACCACGTCAAGCCGGGGGAATTCTGGCCAGGAACAAGACAGTTCATTCCCCAAAGACCAGTCACGACGTTCAACGGTAATACAATGGAACCTAGGATGGTAATTTTTCCCAAAATGTCGTTCATGTCGTTGTTGACCCTGGTCATGTCTATGTTGATCTGGGCAAGGTAATTAGAGTGAGATCGAGCAAGCAATTTCTCGTAGTGATTCAAGCTTTGCACCATTGTGACGATGTGATCCTGAATGTCTCCCAAATACATTCCGATTTCAGACCGAGGAGCTACCTCCCACTGCTCGTTGCATCTCTTGGAGAAGCCCTTTATAACATCGGCTTTGAATCCCAAAAGTCGCAACAACGACATAACCCTTCTACGACAGTCTCCAATTCGGCGAAGCATGTCTCCCTTGCGTTTCCAGCTCAAAATCTTCGTATCTTGGGACGAGGACGTCGACCGCGAAGACTTGGAACTCCACGTGTTTATGGACGCCTTGTCGTTGACAGTTGACGTTCTTCGTTTCAGCTTGAGCCAGATCTTGTCGTCGTCCTCGTCCTCAGAGCCAGAAGACTCTTCATCAGAGTCAATTCCACTCTGCATTACCAAAATTGCGTCCTCAATCGCATTGACCTCATCTTCAATGCTTTCTATTAGAGGAGCGTACGCATCGGTGATGTCGTCAATGAGAGCGTATCCTATCCAGTCTGAAGTGACAGACAGATAGTCCTTGAGCAAGCGCACTCTGCGCCGAACGTTTGCCGGATGTGGGGTTGGTTTCTGGTGGAACGTGATAACGCCGTCTCTGAACACAATGATGTACATATTAAGTGGTTCAAGCTCGCCGTTCTTCTTCCGCTTGTCGCCATCTCTTCTTTTGGAAACCATCGAGGGTGCCCGCTGATGGTCGATATCACTGGACGACGGCTTGCTCTTCAACAAACGGTTCACGATATGACGATACCACGCTTTCTTGCGATGCTTGCTGTTGACACTTTCGTCATCAGAGAACGCAGCTGAGTTCATGGCTCTCTCCAACGCTTTTTTACGGTTTTGATGCTCAAGAACAACGTCAAACGCAGTAAAACACACCAGATAGTAATCTCTGAACAATTCCACCTTCTCTCTCGTTTCGCCCATGAAAATATCCTCAGTAGTCAACGGGTGGATGCTGAACGCCTTGGACAGAACTTTCATCTCCTCTTCCGTTGGGTTCAGGACGTCAAGCCAGAAAGGCGGCACGTCTGCAGCCGACGAGCTGTCCGCGGCCACTGAGGGCGTGGGAGTGCTTGTTCCTGTGACCCTGGGCTTAAGACTGTTCTGCGACGATTGAACAGAGGCTATGTTTGGATGCGGCACATTGGACTGTGAACTATGTTCTTGGGTCGATGGGGAAAACAACTCTGAAAGGCTGTATTTTTGCACCAGCCCCGAAATATTGGAGGCATGAATAGTGTTCTCGAGGTCTTCCCTGAAATACGTGAACCGCAAACTTTTCGGCTGCCGCAGCTCTGGGAATTCGTTCAGAACTTTCCGGTTGTTGCTCCAAGGAACAACTCGCCGCGGCCGAAGACGACCATTGAGAGCTTCCTGCTCGTTTTCGTTCTGCACCAGCAACGGCTCAGATTCACTCGGCTCAATGTTGGAAACCAGCGGATACTCGAAATTGATCCTTTCCTCCCCTTGCACCGGCGAGGACTGCCTGGAGAGCGACGCGGAAGCCTCGCTGATTTTTTTAAACTCCTGCAATTCCTCGTCCACAAATTCCTGTAGCACAGAGATGTCTGGCCACATCTTGCGTTTTCCGGCCTCGTCAAAACTTTCGACGGGAACACAAACGTCGTCCAGAGAGGACGCGTTGGAGGAGCGTCTGGAAGACGGGTTTGACGAGCCGTAAACGGAGTTAGAGCTCTCGTCATCGTTATTCGAATTGTAAGGTTCATGTTCGGCCAGATCATGCAGTAAGCCTTTCGCGGGCCGGTCTCTCAACGTGGACTCAAACGGATTTTCTGTCTTGTACTGCAGTCCCTCGGAAATGGACTTGTTTTGCTTGAGGGCATTGTTGTAACTCTTGAACCTCCTGAATTTGGACTCGCCTATCTCGTCTACAGAGCCGTATCTGTCTTTTGAGCTGGGCGAAATCGGGCGTCCAGTAGCCGTCCCTATGCTTAGTCGGTTTTTAGGTCTATCTGAAACCACCATTGGAGCACTTAGACTGAAGCCCCTTTTGCGCTGGCGCTGCGACTTTGACAAGTCGGTGGCCAACGAGTGCCGTCTGTGGTCGATCAGGGGCTCAAGGCCGGCCGAGGAGTCGGAAGACACGTCGTTGTGCATCACTCCAAACGCGTCCGTCTCGTGCTCTGAAACTTTGCTGGAACGCCGAGGTGTGATTTCACTCATAGCAATCGAGTTACCCAGAAAAAGATAAGATTTTCTCTGAAACGCTTTTTAAAATATATCTACACAAAAGGCTCTAGGCCTCCTTCTGGTTGTTGTCTGGTTCAGAATCGTCTTCGTGCTCTTCGCCAGACTCCTTTGCCGGCTCCTCGTCGCTCTTGTACTTTTTTTGTTCTGGCTCCAGTTGCGAGATCGAGTCGTCGATCTGGCCAATTAGCCCGCGAAGGGCCCTCCATTGGTCCTCTGTAAGTGCAATTCCCTGTTGTTAGGCTCTCAAAAAACACGAATGTCCACTTACCTTAGACCCAGGCAGCCATTTCCCCTCTTTCTGGTAGTACTCCCTGATATCAACTAAAGTAGCCCCCTTGAACTTGCGCACACTCACGCGTCTTTTCTCGCTTCCAAGCTTGCTGTCAGCAACGACACACCCCAATTGCTGCTAACTTACCTCAAACTGGAACTCAGGACCGGTAGCTTCTGGGGCTGCTCTTTTCACACCCATAGTGCAATGAATAATATTTTCCTGGCTAAAAATTGAGACTCTAGGTCAATTTTCTTATATATGTGTCTTCCCAAGGTGTCTGGCCGTCTCCAAGATATCTCGCCGCTGGTGCTTGGCGGTGCTACCTTCAACACCCAGTACAACGACGACCCGTACTCCATGCACATCTGCGACCTACTGTACACGGCTTTCGAAAATGGTATCAACGCTATCGATACGTCTCCCTACTACGGTCCTTCTGAGGAACTGATTGGCGACGCCTTGAAAAAGCTGCTGGATTCGGGCAAGGTGTCTCGAGACAACTATTATATCTGCACCAAGGTGGGCCGTATCCAGCTGGATGAGTTTGATTACTCGCAAGCTTGGGTCAAAACGTCCGTTTATCGGTCTTTGAAGCGGCTCAACACCGAGTATTTGGATGTGGTGTATTTGCACGACGTGGAGTTTGTGGACGATGCCGGGATTTTTGAGGCGCTCCAGACACTGATGCAACTCAAAAAGCAGGGACTGATCAGATACGTTGGGATTTCCGGCTACCCTGTCGCCTTCCTCCATCGTATTGCATCTGAGTGTGTGTCGAAGCCAGGTATCGGGAAGCTGGACCTGGTGCTCAGTTATTCCAACATGTGTCTGCAAAACACCCTGCTGGCGCAGTGGTACGACAAGTTCATGGAAACAGGCATCCAACTGTTGAATAACGCCTCTATTTTGTCTATGTCGTTGCTGAGATCCCAGGAAACCAGACCGTTCCACCCTGGCTCGCCGAAATTGAAGCAGGCCTGCTCTGAGCTGGCGGTCGCTCTTAAAGAACACCACAACACCGAGCTTGCCGAGCTAGCTACGCGGTTTGCGATTCGCGAATGGCTGCCTAAACAGGGCAAGACAGTGATCGGTGTGTCTAACATAGACGAGCTACACTCTGCTCTGGAGCAGTACAAGGCCGTCATAGAAAAGACCAACGACGAATGCGACCACAAGCTCGTTAAATTGAGTCAATCATTTTTGGGCCACCATTTGAACGAGACATGGGACAGCGGTCGCTATAAAGCAACGTTATAAACTTTAATACATCACAGCTTCGACTTTGTTTCTTTGAGTCGTATTCCTGCACGATCAATCACCAAACAGTTTCTATCGACACTCCATGTTTGGAAGATCACCGTCTGGCCGCTCTTCCAGCCCAGAACCCTGAGCTGCTCACCAGGATACACCACGCTGGTGAACCTTACTTTGATCTCATCAAACACGCCATAATGGTCCATTAGAAGCTTGGCACTGATTCCCATTGTCCCCAGTCCGTGCAGGATGGGCCTGGAAAAGTTTCCGCCGCGCGCAAAGACAGGATCGATGTGCAACGGGTTAAAATCTCCGTTCAAACGGTACAATGCCGCCTGGTCGGTGAACGTTGTGTACGTCGACTCAAAATCTGGCGGACCACGCGCCTCGAAGCTATTTTGCAAGAAGGGAATAGACCGCTTGTTGAACACTTTGTCTTTTCCACTGACCGTCTCACTGTTCCGGATAAAGTACGACCCTTGGTTGTAGAAAACCAGCTCATCCTTCTCGTCGTGCGTTTCATATCCCTCAATCACCAGGCTGTTCTTCTTACCATTTTTGTGCTTGTTGAACACAGCAACAGGGAAAGACTTGGTTCTCAATTTTCCAGAGGTAGGAATTTGCTTTGCAATTTTCAGATAGTGTTCTCCATGGAGAAGCTTGGTCATGTCGAAGTTTTTCACTAGGTCGCTGAAGTCGAACGATTCTGATCCTTCATTCAAAAACGGAATCACGCCAAAAGTCGGAACAGCCTGGAAATCGTCGTCATTCTCGTACACGTACTTGAGCTCTTCCGCGTGACAGCCAACGGACAGATTGTATAAAATCACCTGGCGGTGATCATAGTGATATCCATCGGTCCTAACAGATGCAACCTCTTCCTCTTCCTCTTCTTCGTCCTCCTCTTCTTCGTCTTCGTCTTCGTCTTTGCTTCCAACACTTTCCAAAATAGCCATAGCTGATTGCTGCGTACTCTTCATATTCATGCCTTTGCTGAAGTCTGTGATTTCAGCCCAATGCTGTTCGATAAACTCCGGTGAAATATGGTCGTCGTGAGAAACCGCACCAATGGCCCGCTGCCACCGTGTATTGCCAACCCATCCAGCACCCACCTCATATAGCTCGCCGCTTACTTTCACCTCGTCGCTGGCCAGAAGAACAACAAGAGGCGAGACCTGGTCGGCACTGAACTTGTTCAGCTCATCGCTCTTGAATATCGTCTTTGTCATTGATGTTTCCGCATGCGGTGCGATTGCATTGCACCGGATATTGGCCTTGGCACCTTCCAAAGAGAGACTGCGCGTGAAGGAGAGAACAGCAGCCTTGGCCGCGGCGTAATTTGCCTGCCCGAAATTGCCGTAGATGCCTGACGTCGAGGTCGTATTGATGATGCAGCCGCCTTTTTGCTCTAAGAAAATGGGCCACACAAGCTTGCAAAGTCGGAACGTGGCCACCAGATGAATTTGGATCACGTGATCCCACTCCTGCTGCGTCATCTTGGCGAAAGAACGGTCCCTAAGAATACCTGCATTGTTGACGAGAATGTTGACGGTGCCAAATGTGTCCAAGGCAGTTTTCACAATTTTGTCTGTCTCACTGTAGACGTTGAACCGAGCGCCAACCGCGGTACCCCCAGCTTGCTCAATCTCATCCACCACGCCTGAAGGGTCCTGCAAATCATTCACAACGACCTTTGCGCCGTATCTGGCGAACCACAATGCGTGGTGTCTTCCGAGGCCCGAGCCTGCCCCGGTGATGATCACCACTTTGTCTTTTAAAGATGATATTCTGATACTTCCCTGGTCGTTTGGACGAAGTTTTTTTGCCGTTTCCAGCAAGGAGTTGTAATCGTTTAGGTGAGTAGGATATTGCGGGTTTTCGAAATCTGTCACCTGCGAGAATTTGGTGAGAATAGCCTCTGGTGTGAGCGACTCGTCTGGCTTGAGCAAGAGACCGCCACTGCGTTCCCATCTAATCTGCGCAAACAGACCAGCAGCCACCTCAAAGATGCATCCAGAGCAGTTACATCCACGGGACGACAAATACAGAACCAGAGGAGCGACCTTTTCGGGCAAGAGTTTCTTCAGCACGTCTGGTGGCATGACAGTCTCTGTCATTCTGGACTTGGCTAGCGGAGCAATGGCGTTTGTCCTGATATTGTACTTGGCTCCCTCTTTGGCAAGCGTCTCTGCGAGTCCCACAAGCCCCATTTTGGCAGCAGAATAGTTTGTCTGTCCAAAGTTGCCATAGAGCCCGGCAGGAGACGTCGTCATGATGATGCGGCCGAATTTTTGCTGCCGGAAAAGCGGCCAGCACAGTTTGGTGAGTTTAAAAGCCCCGTTCAGATGGACGTCCAGAACATCGAGAAACTGTTTTTCAGTCATGTTTTTGAACGCGGCGTCCTTCAATATTCCAGCGTTGTTGATCAGGACATGCACCGTGCCGAATGCCTCCACAGCTGTCCGAACGATTCCGTCAGGATTAGTCACGACGTTGTCGTAGTTGGCGACCGCCGTGCCGCCACCCTCACGAATCTCATCGACAACAACGTCAGCTGCCTTGGTCGACGTGCCCGATCCGCCAAGCGTGCCCCCTAAATCGTTCACCACCACCTTGGCACCGCGAGACGCAAAGCTCAGTGCGTACTGCCTTCCCAGGCCTCCACCGGCGCCTGTAATAATCACAACAAGATTCTTTAACTCTATCTCACCCATGAGGAAGCATTGCCGAGCGTACCAGCTTATATACTTTTGCTGTCGCATGTGAATTTTCAAGTGTGGGGTCCGGGGAAATACAGGCTGTGCAAAAATATTTAAGGGAAGCGTCACTCACCAAGGTAGCACACCCGCAGAAAATCTTGCTTGAAACGCAAGCTCAGTAGAAACCACAGCAAGCCATTGCCTAGGTGATTTGTTCCAAAGGCGCAGATGAAGCAGAAACAAGAATTCTCTCTGCGGTGTATGCGAACTCTCCTCAAATTCTCTAAAATTGTAGCTCCTCTATAAGGATAAATAAAAAATTAGCTATCTCTCTAATCACTGCATATTTTGCGATTATAAAAAAAAAAGGCGCTGAGCAGTGTTTTCTGCTGTTACCTCATGACTCTGTATCGCAACTATTATGTACATTCTATACTCTACTCCTCGTCATCGTCGTCGTCCGACTCGTCGCTAAGATCGCTCACTTCCTCGCCTAACGACTTGAGCCTGAGCTTCATTTGCTTGTTTTTCTCGTCTAGCTCGCTCATCAGCAACATCAGGTCATCAACGTCCCCTCTAGGAACCGAGTCCTTCCCTCTATTCTCAGCATCTTTCAGCTTTTGCTCCAATTCGATTACCTGTTTCTGCAGCTGCTCGTGTTCGGCAGCCTTAGACTTCAATGTCTCGTAATCTTCCAGTGTCTTCTGTAGCTCAGCGTAATCGCTCTGTAGTTTTTCGTGATCAGCAACTTTGCTCTTGAGTTCTTCGTAGTCTGTAGTCTTCCTTTTCAGACCATCATATTCGGCAGCTTTTTGCTGCAACTCGTCGTAATCTTGGGTTCTTTCTCGATATGCCTCCAACTCTAGCAGTTCTGTCTTGAGCTTTTCTGCCTCCTTCATCTGTTTCTTGAGATCCACAAGCTCGCGCAGCTGCTCCTTCATTTTATCCCTGAGGTCTCTAAGCTCGGCGCCTTTTGCCTCCACTTCATGCTCCTTCTGCTTCAAATTCTCCTCCATGCTTGTCAGCCTGTCCTCCAGCTTTTTTAGTTCTGCTTCCTTGGACGTCTGTGAATTCAACAGCTCTTGCTTTCCACTCGACAATGATTTCACTTGCTCCTCCAATTTCGAAACCTCTGCATCCCTCTCTTTCTGGGTATTTTTTAGCTTCTCATCCAAAGAATTAATTTTCTGAGAATACTCCTTGACGACGGAATCAGAATTTCCGGCCAGAAGTGCTCTCTCTCGCTCCATCTCCTCAGTTTTGCTTCTCAAGTCCGAATTCAAGTTCTGCAACTCTTTCTCGTGCATCGCCACCAGCTCCTTCTTCTCGGCTCGTTCCTTCCCTAAGTCAGATTTCAAACCCTCGATCGCGCTCAAATGTGACTGAAGCTTCTTCTCCAGCTCTGAAAACTCGACCACTCTCTGCTCCTTCTCCTTCCTTAACTCCTCTGCTTCCTTCATCAGCCGACGACACTCTTCGTCCTTGGCCTCGACATTCAACGAGATCATTGAGATGGTGGACTCGAGCGACTTCTTTTCCTCCGTCGCCGTGTTCTTTAGCTCCCTTGTCTCACCGAGCTGCTTCTTCAGGGACGTCACTGTCGTCTCCAGCTCCTCCTTTTCTTGTGTCGCTTCTGCAAGCTTCCTTTCGAGCGCTGCGGAAGACTTGGAGACACTCTCGAGCTGATGAAGCTTTTCCTCGTATTCTCTGATCTGAGTGTCTTTCTCCTGCTTCAGTCTCTGTATTTCCTCCTCCCAACTCTTCTGGAGCTCACGTTTTTCGGTTTCTAGTACCTGTTTCTCCTCCTGTAACCGCTTTCTCTCGAAGTCTGTCTCCTTGCGGATTTCGTCTCGCTCTGCAGTCAAGTTCTCCAGTTGACGATGAATGTCCTCGTTCAATGCCTCCAATTCGGCCTTCTGTGTAGTCAAACTCATAAGTTGCTTCTTTAAAGAGCCCGTAGAGGCCTCTGTCTCCTTTCTCATCGACTCAAAGCTCCGAGTGGCCTCCAAATGGCTGCTGCGCAATCTCTCAATCTCCTGCTCCGCCGCTTTTAGTTTTCCAACAGTCTCCTCGTAGGTCTTCCGTAGACCGTTGTAGTTGTCGTCACCCTTCTTGAGCTCCACAGTCAGACTCTGGATTTTGGACTCTTGTCCGGATATCTTCTCCTGCTGCTGTGCTATTTGTTGCTGGAGCTTTTCGTGCGTCTTTGCCATCTTCTGCGCCTCTTTCTCGAGATTTTTTATCGTTTTACTTTGTGACTCGTGGTCCTTTGTCAGCTGCATCAATTCACGGCTCATCTTGTTAATACCATCCTCTGCTTTACTTTTTTGCTGCTCAATAACATGCAGCTTCTCGGAAAGCTGTTTGTTGCTTGCTTCCAACAAGGTCACCTTGGAAGTAGCTTCCTGGTGCCGCGTGGTCAACAGTGACAAATTCTGCTCCAGCTCGTTCTTAAGCTGCGTAAGCTTGCCTATGTCCTCGGAGCTCTTCGCGTAATTTGTGTCTAGCAGCTCTCTGTCCTTTTGAAGCTTCTCGAGCTCGCTCTTTGTAGACTCGTACGCCTTTGCAAGCTCGTCGTATTCCGAAATGAGCCTCTCAATCTCGGCCTTTTGTTTCTCAATCGTCTCATCGGCCTCCTTGCGAACAGTCTTCAGATCGTTTGTCAGCGAAAGACAGTCGTTCTGGACAGTTTCAAAGGCGTCGAAGCTGAGTTTTTCCAGAGGCTCAAAGGAGGGATCGTGGCCTATGGCCCCCCGGAGCCGTCTGGAGTTCTCCTTCACCAGCTGCACAAACAGCGGATCGAAAAACACCTGCGGCAGTCCCGTATCGTCTCTGTCTGGATTCAGCATAGTTTCCTCGTCGTAGTTGGAGAATGCTTCGCTTTTTTCGAACTGCTGGATCTTCAAGCTGAATGCGTTGTCTCCGACCCGGCTCTTCAGCAACGAGCTCAGCTGCTGACGACTCACGGGCGATTTCTTTCTTGTGAACTCGTAAACTATAGCCAGCAAAACTACCACCATTCCCTGCGCAAGCAGATTCTCGTCGTTGGCCTCAACGAGATACGCAAGCAGTTGGTCCAGAATGGACGGATCCTGCAAAAATCGGTCCACAGCTTGAAAATTCTCCCAGAGCCAGACGCTCAATAGCATCATATAAGCAATTGGGACACGCGGGTCCTTGAAGCGCAAACTCGAACACAGCGCCTGTCCAACGGCCTCGATGATGTTTAGGACGTCCTCGTTGGCGCTTGCGTTGCCGATCTGGACGGACATGGCCAGGTCACGTCCCTCGTTATAGTCCTCAAAAACATAGATCAAAACCAGACATGCAAACCAGATTTTGTAGGGATTCAGCTGCAGGTCGCTGTCAACGTTGATAAGCGTTGCAAACAGGTTGGCTCCTGTGAAAGTTGTGGAGGCCGACCTGCTCTCGCCGTTTGCATCATTCTCGACTTCACCGTTTGCGTCTTCTTCCTCCTCCTCCTCCAGTTCGTCCTCGCTGTCGGGCACGCCGTTCAGCTTGTTGAACGCATACTTTTGATCTTTCAAAAAAGCATATTTGGCGTCCGCGTTGTCCTTGAAGTACGCATGTAGCACCACCACAGAGGCCATCCGCAGATCAAATAAATGGACAGAGTTCGCGTAAAAGCACCAGTGCAGCAATGCATCTATCACTGGAACAACCTCGTCCATCTTCTGTGCTGAAGCAGGAAGCGTGGGGTCCATATAGGGGACGTCGATCTGAGAGAACTGTAGCTGGATCTCGGCATTGGAGCGGATGATATCTGCGGTAGTAAGAAGCGCGTTGACCCGGACAACGTTGGGAATGCTGATGGAAAACACCAAACGCAAACTCAGCATCAGAACGTCCGAGTTTACAAGAGCTCTCTGTGCCTCGTCAATGGCCTCCACTCCTTCGGCCACAAACAGCCTGCATGTGTCAAGCGTGGTGAGCAGGTTCTGGAGCCGCTGCTCGTTCCACACAAACGGACCCAGCTCGCTCTCGGCCAGAGGCTGGTCCAAAAATTCTGCGAGTTTGTACATGCAATTGGTTTCAATGAAAAACTTCTGGTTGCTGGCGTTGTATCTTAGCAGGTTCGCTATCAGCGACAAACAGTCCTGAACGACGATATTACCCTCAAGGCGGCCCTCGTCCTCTATAATGCGGTACAATTTTTCGAACGTGTTCTCGAAGACCACCAGCTTCTGAATGTGGAAATTGTCCTTGACGATGCCCATCAGCAGCAGGATTGCCTCGTTCCGGATCGGCTCGTAGGGGTCGTCAAGCGCCTGACACAGCTTTGAGATCGCCAGCGGTGACTTAAGGGTGAGCTCTTTGGTCCGTAGCGGCCGCGTCGAACATAACGCCTGGAGCAGCTGCAATGAGTACAGCTTGATATGGATATCGTCTGCCTCGACGAGATCCACCAGAATATCGAAACTTTTCACCGATTGAGTCAACTCGTCGAAAATCCACAGCGAAAACTGGTCTGTCACGTTGTCAAGAACCAAACTCGGCGACGGATATTTGCCGTTCTTGAGTCTTGTCTGCTGGCTAATCCAGCTTCTAGTTAGATCGTCGTCGCCCTCGCCCCGGATAAACAGAATTAAGAGGGTTTCGAGCACTGCCCTGACAATATCAAGATCCAGCACGTCCTTGTGCAGGGTCGCAACAAGGCTCTTGAGACCGTTGGCAATGACAATCTCTCGATACTGTCTGCTGAACGATTTGAGCCCCAAAACGGCTGCCCTGCGGTCGGTCAGCAGCGTCGCATGCGACAGCCGGTCCACGAGTGTCGCAATTGAGTCGCTGACCTCCTTCTCGCTCGCGCTGGGCGTGCTCATTAAGTTCTGAAGAAGCTCCATGTGGTGTTTATTTTACGTCAAACCGCGTATTTTTCTCAATATTTGGCCATATATTTTAAAAAACAGTACACCTCGCACCGACAGCCCGATCAGAGCCCCAGCTTGCTGTTGATGGCACCCTTGATTGCATCGTTCTTGGTCTCGTTCACAAACTTGTCGAAAT